CTCAAAATTAAAAAGACGGATGAAATAAACTCTAGGCCATTAAAGTAGGAAACTTAGGTGCGAATTCACAGCTCTGATATGGAAAACGATACCTATCTTATTTGCAGTAGCGCAGCTTAGGAAATAAAAACGGAAAAGCAATTAAAAGTTTCTGCTTATCTATGCAAGGTTGATGTGGAAACTATCGTATGAAAAGAAATTAAAGTTACGAGTATAAACTCAGCTGCTAACTACCATGAAAACCAATTTTTTTCCAGAAAGACCATTAGCACTTATATTTACCTTAAAAGAAACCAGTAATAAATAACAATAATTACTGACCCTCATAAAATCCTATTGTTCTCTCTCAGCATTATATCGGCGATTTCAGTTGCATTGTTGGTGTACCAAAACATCAATATGAAGGGGCGACTGAAATCGTCGATGTAATGCAGAGAGAGAACAATAGGATTTTATGAGGGTCAATAATTATAATAGTTAATTACTGAGGTTCGCAGCATTATTGGGTATAATGCTGCGAACCTCAGTAATTATCTATTAAAAAGTGCCGGCAGGCAGGTTCATATGATGAAAGCGAGTAACAACAAAAATCTATTCCAAAAGCTACTGTGGTTTTATACATTTTTTGATTTACTAAAATGAAAGGATTTGAAATGGCCAAATGTGAAAGCTTACGAGTAAATATGTTCCGAATAACAACCACACAGAAAAACCAGTAAATTTTCCCGTAACATAAGGTTAGGGAGAAGTTATGGTGGTAATTGACCTTTTCTTTGCTAGGATACATAGAGTTTGATGATTGTAATTTATATCTTTTAGCTTTAAAACTTTCAACTTTGTATAAATTGTAACTGTTTGCCATATCTATTTCTCTGTACGTTAATCCCTCAAAGTTGAAGCAGGTGAGTCAATAACCTGACTTCCTTTGTCTGGAATTGTGTGATTATATAATTTTGCTGTGTAAGTTACCACATTGTAACATGTAATAGTATTATTTAGATTGCATTAAATACTCTTTCTCAAGCTTTCATTAATGCATGGTATTTCTTATCAATGCTTATACCTAAACGAAACTTTGATATACGGAATTGGTTTCAAGACACGGGAGTTTTAAAGGGCTATAATCTGGAAAGGCAAGGATCTTCCTTTAATTTGGACTGAAATCAATGGGAGCCCTCCTTTTCTAATTCATGTTTTTATTTTGACGTGCCTCCTCCCCTGTAATGTTTAGGGCACATAGATGAAGAGAAAATTGTTTATATTTTAACGCATGAAAGTTATTAAGGCTCAATTTTCCAAACTGCAATTATAAGTCACGCTCAATAGAATATAATTGTAACTGATCCTGACATCATACACTTCATCTGAAGAGGAAAACATTCTCTATCTTCGAAAATTTTCTCAAAACATCAGTAACAACAACGAGGATCTCAGGCTGTTTAAAGATACCGCTGACTAGCATGCGTGTTGATCGCCTTGCAAGTTGTGAGAGCATCGTCCCCAGGTTCCAGACTTCGTCAATTGTTTCCCCCCTCCCCAACTTCCGGACTGGGCTGGGTTGTTCAAAGCTGGGTTAAGATAACCAAGGGTTAGTGTGAACTCTGATTTCAAATCTGAAAGCTTTAAAAAAAATTCAGTATAATTCTTTTTGATAAGAATCTGATGATTGTATGCTTGATATAGAATAGAGGAAATGATCCCAAAAAGGCTTTTGAACAAAGGAGTAAAGAAATCCAGATTAAAATTTAACCCTGTGTTAGCACTAATCCGCCTCCGAACAACTGGGCCCTGGTCTCTAAATCCCCTTGAGGAAACTCTTCTACAATCTGTGCTGAAGAGTTTTATTAATCAGTATAATGAAGGGCTGGAAAATAACCTAACTAGAGCTCCGCTTTTAGGCTTGGCTAAATCTATATTATATAGATAGATAGCAGTTTTCAAGAAGTTTGTGGACTCCTCGACGTGTGCGTGACCAGCGGCTTTCACGACGAAAGGTAAACCTTAAAAGACTTTCAGCTGTTATTCACTTTTAAACCTAAAATATTTAGATTACAGTGCACAGAAGTTTTTGTGTTCAATATTGTTGACTCACTGAGAAGTAGAGGCAAAATATGATAGATAAAATCATTGTCCTTGTTTGATTGTTTTCTGCTTTGCTTAGGGTCTTTGGTGTTTGCCGTTTAGTTCAAGACACTATGGCAAAACAAAGGCTTCCCACTTGATCGCCTAATGTAAAAGCGAACCAAAAGTGATTTAATTTTTGTTCTCGTCTTTGTTTGAGTTCTCCAGATTAAAAAATCACTTCATTTAGGCGCTTTTAGAAAGGATAAATGGCGGAACGATTGATTCTCTAATAGATGCAAATACCCAATTTCTAGCTCACCTGCAATTTCTATCGTCTTCAAACTAAACTTTTGAAGTCAAATTTCAAGTCAAAACGCTTCAGTAACAACTTAATTTACCGTCTTAGCAGATTACTCTAAAGACCGAGTTCTCCGTTCTTCCCTCCTCGTTCATCGTTTATCGTTTTTAGTAACATCCCTCCAGAACATCACATTCTGTTCCATTGTTTACGTTAGTATGCATGGTCATGCTGATACTGATTTATAAATGACATGTCAAGCATACACATAGCATGTGCTAAACTGTTAAGAATGAGAATTCAAGATTGATTTTTCATGATTTGGAAAAAGAAAAATCACCAGCACCCTTTGAGTTTAGTGAAGAGCATGTACGCGACCTCTCAGTATCAATGAAATTAAGGGTTTGATCCTTTGAGCTTGGCGGGAGGTCCAATAATTCAGTGCGACATCGTTTAGTCGCATCGCTTTTCATGTTGCGATTTTAGAACTAGCCGTCGTTTCAGCGAAAAATGTGGTGGAAGGAATAACCACCGTGTTTGACGAATGTATGGTAATGATGACCAACATACTCGAACCGCTGGTCGGAGAAAGCATCTCGCGGTGGAGGAAAATGAAAATTAAAGGAATATGTAGGAATATTGTATGTATAATGTCTACGTAAACTTTCTGCACACTTGACTACGTAACACAAGTGAAACAGAGTCATTTAATAAAAGGCACTGCTGTAGACCTTTTGGGTTTGTAAAACTGATGATCAAAAACGAAATAATGATATTCTTCTCAGAAATCGTTGTAGATAATCGGCCACAATTTTATGACGTTCTTTCTCGATAGAAAGCAGAATGAATTGTAAAGCGAAATCAGAGTAGACCTCAAATCAGTTTGGACTAAAAGGCCGTTTGATAGTTTCTGTCTCTATGTAAAGCTGAATGCCAACCATTTGATAGCTGCAACGGTTACTAATTATTTTGTTAGTTGATTATGTCCTATCTATGTCGCAATCTAAGTGACTCAAGACTAGCAGCGTAAACCCCTATCAAAGTGCAAGAGAAGAGGATAGGGTTCTCGTTGTGATTGGATACTTTGTAAGAGAATATCAATTATTAACTGCTGAACACAGCTGTTAAGGTATGATTTAACCGACAGAAAGAACACTTATGATACTCCTACAAACCCAACTACCTTATCAAACAATGTGTAATATTCTTACCAAGGAGCGACTCCTAAAAGCATTATAGTAATTATTCTTAGTAAACTTTCCTTATCCCACCACAGACTACAACTTAGCTCACCAAGGACACAATCTTTGCATCAGGGGTGGACTCGTGATGTAGTTTAGAATAGCAAATTTGACATAGTTCGACATTTGCAGAAATGTTAGGATAAACCTCATTTTCTTCTCAGCAAAAGCCTTCAAAAAAATTATATATAAAAATTTCGGTGAATTCATTTTGCAAAGCTACGACCACCCCCCCCCCCCTCCATTTCACCCCCTCTCCTCTGTATGCTGAAGTATCATTTTGCCCTCAGAAACAAAATAATGTTGGGGAATATTTCCAAACAGACGCTAAACTCTCCTTCATTTGAATGTTAAGACTATTCCTCAGGTATCCTCTACTCCAGACTAAAGGGGTTATTTTAATATTAGGTACTGTTTCTGGTGCAATTATTCATATCAGCAGGAAAGAAGGGTTTTGACCAAAAGGAAACCTAGTTTATAATTATGTAAGATTGATGGACTCTTAACTTAACCTCTACTGAGAGTGACAGGAGAACATGGTCTCTTGTATGTAAGTCTCCTGAAACACGTACAAGCGATTTTTTGCACTTCGGGAAGCTATGTTACTTTGGTTTGGTTTTGTCCTTCCTTCAAAGGAGAGATCTACAGAGATGGGTCAAGATATATTAGATCAATGTCGTGGAGAGAAAGATGTGAACTCGTGTACAGCATCATCATGCAGACAGAGTCAACTCAGAACTTTTCAACACTTTTATTATGTAAAAAAAATTAAAGTTATTACATTAGCAACGTATCCAAGAAAAAAAAAGACTTGAACACGTACCTACGACCAGTTTCGTTAAGTAATAGTATCTAGTACGCGAAAACTATCGGCCTGTTAGGCCAAACAACAAACTTTCTAGCAGAAGTAATGTGCCAAGTATAATTTTGATTAGAATTCCGTATAAAAGTATTTCGAGTTGGTATCGCAAGTAAAGGCGGTCTTGGGGAAAGCAATTTATGCGCACGATTAGCTTTCCTAAAAACAAGCGGGTTTTGCGGCAAAATTTTTTTAAGCAATTTATTAAAATTGTACACAACAGAGCGAGATCTCATCACCTCCTCAGAATTGAGCCAGAAAATAGGCTGAACTCAAACGCTTGTGTCGAGGCATATATGTAAGTACTTAATATGTTAAAGAGAAAATGAGATTAAACTTTATCAGTAAACTTATAAAAGCGTTTCAGCTTTTAAGAATATAAAGTCCATTGAATTACAACGTTCCAGCCTAACTGCTAAACGCAACATGGCTATTTCTACCAAGTAAGCGTGTAAGGAAACGATGATTAATCCCTGAAACTTTTCTAGGCGAAGTGTTCAAAATGTTAGCCAGTCATACACCGTGGACGTGTATCTAACTACACTGTTAAATCCTCGACGTTTGCATACAATTGCTTGTCGTACATTTTCATGTCAATTAGCTTCTGCAGAGAAAAATAATATAATAATCAGCATCATTAAAAAAGTTTTAAGTGGTTATCCTCATGAGTGGTCAGGTTTTCACACCAAAACAAATTCAAGGAGGAAGTATTTTATGGCGTCGTCGTCTGCTACTCTTTGTGCGTCTCAATGCAGTTTTGTAATCATCCTATGATCTTTTAAATAACCATCAAGTGTTAATTGTCATTGAGACATTCAAGTTCACTTCTTTGATGTTTTTCGTGGAGTGCTAGCTTCAGTGACATAACAAAAAGATGCATTCCAGACTTCGTAAAAAGTACAGAGATGAGTACATATTACTACGCTATTTAGGCTCAATGCTGTTACGTTTAACCCTAATTAGCTAAGCCTAAGCCAGTCGGTCTTACGTGAAAAAAAAACTTTCATATTGATAAAAATTCTGACCTTGTGTAGGATTTCCATGTCCTTAAGCTGATTTTTCAATTCAGTGAAAGTTGGTCTTGCGTCTGGGTCATTCTTCCAGCATTTCATCATGATCTGATACCTGGTATTATTCAAATAATCCGTTAAAGATTTAAAGAATGTTTCCTTGTACGGTGAGGGAGAACAAGTAAATAAAGAAAACTTACAATTTTTCATCGACGTGTTGTGGTTTAGACATCCTGTATCCATCCTGGAGTAAGTTTGCAATTTTTCTTCCATCCATTCGTGGGTAAGGTGAACCGCCTGGAAGAACCACAAGACCATCGAAATATAAATGTGACAAAAAACCGACCTTCAATGGAACATCACCTTTGTCACTAGATGTAGTTTGAAGCTCATTACTTTTGTCTGACTGAACACGATACATTGTGTAATTAAACATGGTATAAAGCAAAAAACATCTACAGAGCCTTATAAAATTCCATTCCATGTTACCTATGGTGAAAATCTCGTATAACAGAACTCCATAACTCCATCTGCAGAAAGACAAATCAAATGAATATAAATTAAGTGACTATAGACATAAACAGTATAAAAGACAAATAAAATATATGTATTCTTTGACAAAGCATAGAATTCAAGTCCTGATTAAAATTGATAAAATTTTTGATAAACTGCTACGGGTAATAATCAGGTATACTTACACGTCACTTTTGGTGGTATATTTACCATACAATAAGGCCTCATAAGCTGTCCACTTCACGGGAAGACGGCCCTAAAGATTTTAAATATCACTCTGTGAAACAGCTCGAGAATTATAGGAAGCGAGTAGTCAGAAATAGTGATATTTAAAATTGTACTCGTATACGCATGGCTGATAGTTTCATTAGGGTCCCAAGGAATTCATGATCGAAATCAGGAATATATCAGCTCAACCACAACAATGATGTCAAAGATCACTTAACTGAACGAAATGTGATACCGCCCTCACCTCCCCTTTTTCTTGATTACCTTTGTCTTTCGTTCATAAATATTTTCCTGCTGCACATCTCTGGCCATTCCGAAGTCTGTCACTTTACACATTTCCTTTTGTCCAACCAACACATTACGGGCCGCAAGTTCTCGGTGAATGATCTAATAAAGAATTGATGTAACAGCAAAAATTAGTGATTGTAGAAGAAAAAGAACTGAAATGAAATGGTTCAGAGAGGAAAATAGAAATATCTAGCAACATAATATGGTGTGTGTATTTCTATTTCTTCCAGATGGCAGAAAGTCTAAACTACTACAATAACTGCTCCATATTCCAAAGAGAAGCAAACTACTTTATTTCTGCAATACGTAGTCATTTCAAAGAACGCTTACCTTAACATTTTAATCGAAATAGGATTCTGTAATGAAGCAGTTTAGCGACCAAAGACGATTTTTTTTAAGTTGAAGTTTTAATTCCTTTTCTTCCTTGTCAATAAAATGGATATTTGTTGTGCACTCAGTTTAGGCTGAATATCTTAAAAGACCCTATTCCTTCACGTCTCTGCCTTTGCTCACACGAGAAAAACCCAGATATTTTATTTCGATGGGGTACACTTGCAACGATGCACAAATATCGCCATTCTCACATTGAAATAAAACTTATGTGATGACGTCAAAATCGGAAGGGTTCCTGGCCCTAAAGAAATAACCTCGACAAGACGGTAAGAATACGTCTGCATCTCCCAGGCGTGATCTTGTGAAGACATAATATTCCATGCCAGACAGAGCTTAACATGACGATAGACCTTACGAGAAGGTTTTAGAATTGTTTGTCTTTTGTGTTTTTAACTAACTTACAGATTTTGCGGACAAGTAACTCATTCCATCAGCAATTTGCCAAGCAAACTTCATCAGCTGCTGTGACGTCAGATTTGTTTGTGGTTTGATATCCGGGTCTTTGTAGTAAGTGTCTTTTAATCCACGGCTCTTTCTCAGATAACCCAGCAGATCCCCAAAAGGCACATATTCAATCAAAACCAACAGCTGTTCTGAAGAAATTAAACAATTTAATTGATATGTTACTTTCTTTAAAAAAAAAAAGCAGTAATTGAAATAGATGAATGGCCCAGTCATGGTCAACACTTTTGAAGAAATCGCATGAAAACAAGAAAAACTATGCGACGGTCCCATAAGAAAGTACAGACTAATTATTCCCTTGAAAAAAGCGTTTCTGCTTCTACAACAGAATGACCTGTTCAGTGGCAAATATTCGGTCTTAGTCTATCAGTAAATCCAGGAACGTCTGTGTTGGCTAAAACAAGATAAAATTACCTTATGCGATGGTTGTTTGTTTTGCTCAATTGCGAAGCGGTCACCCTTCCACTGAGGCAAATTATCAATGACGAGAAAGCGTTACAAAGTAAATCATAAGAAAAATGTGTACAGCAAAATTAGACCCGCATAACCAAAGCATACCAGATTCAGTAACGCATCCCAGAAGTTTAATGACGTAAGGATGTGGTTTTAGCTGTTTCATTGTGTCAAGTTCTTTCATCAGATCTCTCTTGTCCGATTCAGAAGCGTTTGCTGGAGCATTAAAAACAAGGAGTAAAATTTGGTTAACGGGAATAATATGCGAAATGTCGGAATAACAACATAACTTATGAAATGGCAAATAGCTAAATAATTACAGTAACCCGGTAACATTTCCTGAATGTCTGTAGGCCAAGACTCATTCAATTTACAGTACAAGAGCTCACTTTTAAGCATCTTAATAGCCACTGTGGTCGTTTCAGGACTCCCTCGAAGTCCTACTGCTGTTCCCTTGGCAACCTGACCAAAAGCACCTTTACCAATAATTTTTTCTATGGTCACGTTATGTCTAGGAACTTCCCAGCAACGTGTTAATGGATGAAGAGGCACGTAATCAGCACCTGGAGGGGTACTTTGTGCTTTTCTATCATCTTTGTTGACTTCTATGAGATCCATGTATTCCGCATGAGGCTGGGTGAGTTTTCTTGAATCAGGTAGACTTGGTTCGATATCTTCTAATAATGTTTCATTCTATTAAACCAACACACTGTTAAGGTATTCATATCCAAATCTGTTATTAATCCCAGTAAAAAGTACCTCATGGTTATAAAAATTCGTTCACCCATTTTTATCAGACAAATGTTTATATTCTTCTATGATAAGAGATTATAAATAGTTTATGACCTCTTTTCCTTATTATTACTAACATTTTGTTCTCTGCTTTTGAAACTATCATGTCCAATAGAGTGATCAAGGCTCATAGCATATTCGTCGAAGCTACAAACTGCAACGTGAAGATTGTCGATTGGTAGTCCAATATTTTAACAAATAAACGCACGAAACAACTCTTGCAGTACCAAGTTCCTAAACTCACGTTTAGAAAATAAGGCATCAAGAAAATACGACGCCCTAAATGCACGAAATCTATTATTTAGAAAGCAAATATCAACCAGGTGCAGACCAATTAGCGATCTGTGAAGTGAAACCAAGCGGTTAAACCAGGGACAATCGAAGGAAAATCCATGGAGTGGCTTGGTAAAGGACATGATCACAGAACAAAGACCTTATCGAGCCTAACTTCCTCTTTTATTTCATTGTATCTGCCACTGATGCAATATGCTTTTTTAAATGTAGAACTACAAATTTTTTCCTTCTTATTTGCTGCAAGCGTTTATTTTCTCATAGAAAGTAGAGGTAAAGTAAGATTACATAATTTCTGGTCACACTAACATGACCTCAATGTCTTAGCTGTAACTTACGTCGCAAACACGTCTCTCATCTTCATAAGCCCTACAATTGAAAAAGCATAGAAATAATTATAAAACGCTAGGAATTTCATCAGTTTTTATTGGAGTTTTGTGTTAAGATGAAACCATATCGGGCACATTACATCGACACAATCCAACTAGCAGAAAATTCTTACCTCTGTTTCCCGACAGCGCCTGAAAAAGAACGAAAGGAAAAAAAACAAATGATGTAAACGCGAGTAAAAATTTGCTTTTGCGTGAAAAAGAATCTTGCAGCCAAACATAGATTATGATTTTTTACCTACCTTTCTTATGTAGCCAGATTATGTAAATAATTAGAAGAAGGATTGTGAAGGCAAGAACCCCAATTATGGCCAACAAGACGTTGTTAGATGGGCAGTTACATTCCTCAGGACCTAAAATGATTCATTTTGCAAAGCTTGATGAAATAACATTCAAACAACATTTACACTGATCCTGGTCGATACACTGCTCTCACTACATAGCTTAGGCTCATGACCGAAAAACGTTAACTCTAATTGGCTTGGTACGAAGGAAGAGCAAGTTGCTACTCTCTCTAAAATAATTTTTAAAAGTAAGATTTTGTTTAATTAAATAAAACAACAACGATAAAAACAAAAAACTTGGAAGTGTATCAGTCACAGAATAAGTTGTTTAATTAAATAGATACGGAATACAATTATAAACAGTCCATCTTCGGAAGAATAAGTGTAACCATTGAACAATGTCTTTGTAAAATTTACCTTTTGTTGTGCTTTCCGAGCCATCTGTGGGTACTAAAACTTGTTTAATTGAGTCTGGATTGACTTTAAAACCTCTGAATTTGTCTTGCCTTGCAGCATCCGACAGGACAATCAAAACATTGCTGACGACTACAGTTTGATTGAACCTCATCATAAAGTCAAGAACAACACTGCCACACCTAGATAAGGGGGGGGGGGAGCAAAGAGTATCATCGCACACATTCGTACTTTGGTGACTTTTAAGTGTTGAAATATATTGAGATTTAACCAATGTAATAAACCAAGGTAAATAAAATTAATTCATGTCATTCTCTGCCAATATATTACCATACATTAAAGACAATATACTTCGAATATAAATTATTTTGTATTAAATAAGATTTGCTAGAGCAGAAAAAACACTTTTACAGCTAAAATACAACACATTGAAATAAAGCTCCTCTCCCCTACTAGAAGGCAAATTTGAGTTTGCATTTGTTGTTTCAATGTAGAACAACAAACTGTACCTTACCTGGTGTTCACAGTGTTGGCGGATGAGCAGCCAAACCTCAAGGCAATTTGACAAGCCTAAAAGGACATATCAAGAAAAAACGTATATTCAAATGCTTGTCACATATTGAAGATCGTTCAAAATATCTTATTTTTTAAACAGAAATATTAAGATTTGATTCGAGAACAGATTGATTAAGATTCACTTTTCATGATAAATCTCATGGCAGTATTCCTTAAACTCCAGTATATGGATCAAGTAGATTATCTAACCATTTCTGGAAATTTCGCAGCAACTTCCGAACGTCTGCTACAGTCCTCTTGTATTGTCGCTGTCAGGTAAACTTCTGTGCTTACTGTTTGAACCGGGAAAAAACAAAATACGACTGAAAATGAACGTTTGTTTGTTTGCACAAGAATTATCATTTGAACTCCTGTGTAAAAAACAGCCTTTACTTACAAAGAACACTGGCCTAAAATGTACGAATGTAAGGCCAATTTGAGAGATATTGTTTTTCTTGTGTTCTGCGTCACCATGGTGTTCTCAGAATCGTTCCCCAAGTCGTCTTCCTTTTTCGCCGAAGTATAACTTTTTGAAATAACCGCAAGTTATGACATAGATGACATTGGTCTCAACATTATTTATGAAAGGAAAAGTTTTGTGTCATGCACGCAAGGTGAAAGCCTCGGGTTGATCATTTATTTAGAAAGTATTTCTGACCAAATAGTTGTCTATGTTTTATGCGAAAATAATATACCAGTTTTTGGATCATTTTGAAGAAATTTAAATTTGTTAGAAGGACAGGTCTTGCCGGTAAAATGGAATAGGATCATTTTTTTCCTTCTATGACGTTTGTAGAATACCGACTTTCGATCAGTTGTTTAAGACTCCCTTGAATGACAAAGGTAGGAGAAGAACTGGCGTATTACCTCTGACATCTTGGAAAATCAGAACTGTCAATATATAGGCTATGAAGCCTAAGACACTGAGAACAAGGAATGGTATTCTTGAGATGTGATAGATTTCAAGATGACAAAACTATGAGACATCGTGGGTCTGTAGCACACCCACTGATGCATAGAATGTTATCTGTTAACTTTGACTTCTAGAGAAGCCAAAGAGGTGTCAGAAATTTCCTAGATCTATTTTAGAGCTCAATGAAAGTAACTGACCGCAATTAAAAAATGACTGAGTTCCTCTCTGGTGGAAAAAGTAGCACTGATAGAGTGATCAACGTAGCGACCTCAAATTCCAGCCCCCTATTTACGCCTGGTGGATGACTCTATCTCTTTGTAATACATTTGCATGTCAAGGGTCGATTCCCTGTCACTATAAATAAGTCCCGTCTAGGAATGCAATTTCTTATTTCGATATCATTCACACAGCCATCAGCTGGGAGTGTAATTGCTGCCGTTCGTGAAGATTCTTGAGCAAGACTGCTGTTTCGATTCTTTCTGAATCTCTTTAGTTGCCTCCTAAGAACGAATTTGGTCGCGGAAGAATTACGAGAGCCCACAGGCCCTTTAACTCTTTTTAACTTTCCTTTTTAACGAAGGAGCGGCAACAGACAGTGAATTCCCATTATATACATTTCTCGCTACTCTCTCTTCCATCAAAGATGTTCACTCGACTGCGACAAGATGCAAATGACTTAAGCCCCGTTCAAACGATCATGAAGGTTAATGATAGACAACTGAATGACAGTTGCAACTTTCATTCACATCATTGACTATCAAGTTTGTGTTCAAACGGTTCATGACAGTCAAAGATAGTTGACAAAATATCACGCAATGAGATCGCGTAATTGTACACAAATACGGTGCGCGCTGAGGTCAGCAATTTCAGCGGCACTTGAAATTTTAGTCAAGAAGTTACAAGTTAAAGATACTGAAGCCTACCAGGAAATGATAGGAATTAACTACGAGACATTCTGGGAAATTTCGACGGCTATTTTAGTCATTTTACCGTTGCCATTTCGGTTCGAGCCCGTTTATGGGCAAAACTGCTGACCTAACAATTATCATTCACTATCCTTCACTCGTTCAAACAGCAAAAACTATCATTAACTATCATGTCGAATTTGGACATGTCCAAACTACATGATTTTTGATGAAATGCGATGATGATAGAACATGACAGTTCGTGTTCAAACGCGCTTGATAGTTGACACTATCGTCAACTATCCTGACCGTTTAAACGGGGCTTCAGTTTTACTTTTGCGACCATGATGCAAGGCAATCAGAGTGCGCACAGGTTCAGAATAAATAATGTTTTCTTCTTCAGATGTCGTGTATGATGTCAGCGTCGGTTGAAATGATATTTCATTGAGCGTTATTGTGAACTTTGGTTTGGGAAAATGAGTCAGAGTTGAAAGAAACGACCATAAGCAACTTCCAGTTAAGAGATTACCGGTCGACTAATAGATGGGTATAAATGAGAAGAGTGAGTCAGTGAAACAATACGCCAGCAACGTACGGGCTTCTCTTATATCTTCTCTTTATGTCGCCAGTTATGATTGTTCACTCCACAGTTTTCTCTATTGTGTCAAACTCCTCTGATAGTTGTACTAAATTAAAAAGAATAGTCACTTTCAACCTGTTTTCAGTTCTTCTCTTCAGATTATTCGTGTTTCACGATTGTTCTTTTTAAACCAAATTTCAATGATCATGGCAACTTTAGCCACTGAAATACGGTATTTGCTTTGTTTCTGTTTCTTGCGCTGCTAAAGTTTGATTTAAACGAAGACAAGCTAGAACTAGAATATCTCATCTCAAACTTGATAACGAAAAGAGACTTAAGATTCAACTTCAAAGATATTTGTAAAAACCTAGAAAGGTTTCATGTTGGTTAGAGGATGTGAAGCAGCGCAAGGAAAGAATTTGCAACCCGTGTTTTGAGCAGGAAATCATACTGGTGAGGTTGTTGTTGAAAAGTGATTCTTGGTATTTTGCAATTTTCTAATAAACTTGCAAAGCCACGATACTCATAGCTAAAGCTTTTCCCTTTTCCAAACGGAAGAAATAGAGAGAAAGAGAGAGAGAGAGAGAGAGAGAGAGACCAAAGAGAGAGAGAGAGAGACCAAAGAGAGAGAGAGAGAGACAAAGAGAGAGAGAGAGAGAAAAAAGAGAGAGAGAGAGAGACCAAAGAGAGAGAGAGAGAGACCAAAGAGAGAGAGAGAGAGACCAAAGAGAGAGAGAGAGAGACCAAAGAGAGAGAGAGAGAGACCAAAGAGAGAGAGAGAGAGACCAAAGAGAGAGAGAGAGAGACCAAAGAGAGAGAGAGAGAGACCAAAGAGAGAGAGAGAGAGACCAAAGAGAGAGAGAGAGAGACCAAAGAGAGAGAGAGAGAGACCAAAGAGAGAGAGAGAGAGAAAAAAGAGAGAGAGAGAGAGACCAAAGAGAGAGAGAGAGAGAACAAAGAGAGAGAGAGAGAGACAAAAGAGAGAGAGAGAGACAAAAGAGAGAGAGAGAGAGACCAAAGAGAGAGAGAGAGAGACAAAAGAGAGAGAGAGAGAGAGACCAAAGAGAGAGAGAGACCAAAGAGAGAGAGAGAGAGACCAAAGAGAGAGAGAGAGAGAGACCAAAGAGAGAGAGAGAGAGACCAAAGAGAGAGAGAGAGAGACCAAAGAGAGAGAGAGACCAAAAAGAGAGAGAGAGAGAGACCAAAGAGAGAGAGAGAGAGAACAAAGAGAGAGAGAGACCAAAGAGAGAGAGAGAGAGACCAAAGAGAGAGAGAGACCAAAGAGAGTGAGAGAGAGAGACCAACGAGAGAGAGAGACCAAAGAGAGAAAGAACTTAAAAGGCGTGGTGCGAGTCGAGAAAAACGCGAAATGGGGATTGATAGGGCGAAGAATAGGCAGAACACAGCGAGGGGAAGACGATAGAGAACAAGAAAAGGTTAAAGTAGAATGGCGAATATCTAGCGAAGACCAATGTGAGAAGAGAATACAAAGAACTCCAGAAAAGAGACTGAAAAGAGATCATCAACAAAGAGAGAGTTAACTACGTTTGTAGCGAAAACGAAGATCCCCGAAAACTAAGACCTAAGACCTAAGACCTAAGAAAATGAATACCCCTTCATGACCTTGAGACAGAAAGTTTGCGTCACGCTCTGTAGCCTCACCGAAGAAAACCTGTGAAAAGATAGACAACCTCTCTGTTCGGAGCGTGAGGCAGCGTGACCATACATTCTTAATTAAGCTAAAGCGAAATCGCCGACAATTCTGAGTTCTCGCGGTTCAGTAATCTGGTGTCGAAATTACGATGCGCAGAGGAGGCTAAGTTTTAAGTCGCTTTCATCGGTGTGAAGAATAAAGTGCCGTGGTGGTAAAAATGACAGAAGAGTTCTCGGAATTCAGTGTGGGAGAGTGAAATTTTTTTGCGGGAGAGAGGCATCAGCTAAGTGATAGCAGCAAAGGAAAGACAAAAGCAGTTAATTTAAATGTAAGAAGATTAAACGAAAGTGTTGCAGACTTCTCTTACTAGATTCAGATCAGCATGTGTCAGACTTAAAATATTTGTGTGTGCCAGCTAATGATTAAAATCTCAGTTAATAGATATGCCATATATTTGCAGTTGGCATACAAATATCAACTGCGACGTAAGTAAAATTTTTCTCGTTGATTCAGCTTCTTGCAAGCGAAGAATTCACCCGTAAAATCCTCGATGTTGATGACACGGAGAGTGCTTGAAAACTAAGTAAAGAAAAGGATAAACCGTTGAAAGGGGAAAATAAGATTCATTTGAACATACTTCCTTCTGCCTTGACTTGCTGGATGTTTGCTCTCTCTTGTTTCAGGCTTTCACCAAACTCATTAGTTGCAGTAATGGCAAACTGATACACTTTTCCTCTCTCCAACGCTATTTTCAATTCTCTCACAGAAACATCTCTGATTTTCCTTACTTCTATCCAATGTCCCACTTTCCCATCAGTTACTACTCTTTGGTACACTGTGTACATGGTTATAACTTTCCCATTACTTTCTGGCTCCTTCCACTTTAGGGTAATTGTATCGTCTGTTGTTTTATCTGGCAGTCCGTCTATTTCGACCACATCTGGGGCTCCTAGATTGATGTCAACGACACGAACAGCGTGAAATTTCTAATAATTATATAACTTCTTGTTACAAACCTGGTCAGAACCATTATCAGTGATTAACTAATCTGTAAACTGGTCAAGGATTTGTTTGGGATATTTCTGAGACGAAAGTGTATGGCAACCAAATTAAGTTAAGTATTGAGATGAATTCAAAATAATTTGAAAGGACAAAAAGTGATAATGAGAAGCCTAAAATGATGGTCGGTTATTGTCTAAAACAAATACTGCATTTATAAGGTGAATTTGAACGATACACTGACTTCTACTGGCATTGTAATTGCTATTTACACGTGATCTAATGAAGGACCGATGCATAGATGACGTCACAATTCACCGTTCGTTTATGTCACGTAGTTACAGAAAGGATCTCAGTTCGTGTGCAACTACTTTCCGTTTTTGAAAAGTTTGACATCGCGCATGATTAAGTACAGGCCTACGATTCTTCTTCTGCAAATATAAGCTGGCGCGGGTTTTTCCGCCGAGACATCAAGCTTTTTTCTTCAGGTGGTTTGCCAACCGAGGAGGCAATGACAAGAAGCGCTCAAGCGATAACAGGTGCGACGAACTTCATTGCCATATTACGGCTGCTCAAATTCAGTTACTAAGTTCACACCTGTTACCACAATAGTTTTTTTGTTGAGTGAGATATGTGCCGGATGAGATTCGAAAGAAACTTTCTTGAAAACGGCAACCTTAATCGTTTTGGTTTGGGCTTATCCCTGCAAAATGAAAATAAGCTATTTCTCATCTTAAAGAAAATATACGAAGGATTCTTCGAGGCCGTCCACACACTGTTTGACGAGATTTCTCCATAATATTTGCATATTAGAAGCGACATTCATGAAAGGCCCATTTCTTCAAACTTCAATTCTTTGGTCAAACGATGTGTGGAAATTGTCTCACTGCCTAAAGGGATAGTTGGTTATCGGGCGTTCTGAATATGGTCAGTAAGAGTTTAGGAAAAATGTACCCAACTAACCTAAAGGTCCCTATGTAGCGGCTGTTGTTGTGGCTGATTCATATAGCAGATTTTGAAACGTGAACATCAGAAAATTAAAAAAAAAAAAAACGACAAGGCAAACAATACTTGATAAATCAGGTAACATTTACGGAACGTAACCGCGTAGGTTGTCTATTGTTCTCACCTACGATCATTGGTTTTTCATTGTTTATTATTATTATGCTTCTTCAAACGTAGGTATCTCTAAAACAATTATCACAAAGGGAAAGGAAACTGGCCACTAAGGAGGGGACAAACGCTGAAAATCCAAAATCTTATAATGCAGCAAGCAGATAACGTTGTTAAAACTGGGTTACTCACAACAAATCTAAGTTTGCAAAAAAATGATTGGTGCAAAGTGCTCAGTCACGATATCACTTTTGATTCCTCACCTTCAAACTTGGTCTTAATGTTCCATACAGTAGGATCTCCCTCGAATACAAAATTTCTGGAAAAAAGTTTCACTGTGTAGTTGGTATTTTTCTCCAAACCAGGAAACGAATAACTTGTCGTCCCAGGATCGGTGATATTAACCTTTTTTATCTCAGTTCCATCCTTTTGTAAGATCATTTGGAATCCTGTAATCTGACTTCCTCCATCATCAGCTGGTGCAGTCCATTGAATTGTTATAGAAGTTGCTTGAATGACTGATTCTGATTTGATGGATGCTTTCCCTGGTTTCTCTACATAGTGCCATAAGAAAAGAGATTATTTTGAGTTTTGTCACAACACTAGGGATGAATGCAAGTCCACGTCTTCTCACAGTTTATTATTCAACTTTCATACACTGTTCGAATTCCGATTTTCTGATTAGATGATTTTACCACGTGATACTGGGTTGTGACGAAACAACCTCCTTGATGTCATTATCGTGGTGTAATAGTCCGTGAACTCGTGCAGGTAAACCCCATAGTTCATTCGTTGAGTGCGTTAACATGTAATTAATGAATATAAATGTAGCTACCGGATACATTCAGCCAAGAGACTCATAAAAAGTGAAAAAATGTATAGTCCATGGTTGAGGAAGTTTCCTATAGATACCCGCATGGGAAGATGTCATCAATCTGCCTGAAGTTCAATGCTCTTTGTGACGTGTTGAATGCTACTAAAGGGCAAGGTGTCGACAGTTTACTTTAAACCTTTTTTTTATAAATTTGGGTGTATTTCCCACTAAAAGATCAGGCCAACAATATCTGGCATAATTCCACTATTACGCCGTTATACCTCATTGGGTAACGAACGCGAAAAATATGTGTAGGTCAAACTCAGCTAAAGAGGAGAAAAATGCGAACGGAACGCTCAGATAAGGCCGCAGGATGTTTGTCGAAATCTAGGCGGCCAAATTGTTAGTAAATGAAAGAATAGTAGAATGATAAATCCCTCACTCGATTGTTTAACATAAGCTTATTTTTTTCCACACGCCTATAAGCCTTGCAAAATATCCGCACGTATTGCATGTTAAACTATCGAATGAGATGTACAAAGTGAATAAGTTACTCTGTCCAATACTTTGTAAGAACATTTGGTATTTACTTCTACTGCAACTGAAACTGTGATAATGAGCAATGGCAAAAGAAAATGCTGACCTTATATATAGTTTTCTTCTTATCACAATACACTGATCTTTTTTACTTACTTATCTGATTTATCTTTATTAATTTCTCATCAGATGGAGGAAGTCCATTGGCAGCAATGCACTTGTAATCACCAAAATCTTGATCACCCCTGAGTGGCACTTGTACTTTGTTTTCTCTGGCTGTGACTCTATTTATTTCACTTCCTTCAGGTTTGTACCAAGAGAGTGTTGGTGTAGGAACACCATCAGAAAGACACTTCAAAGTCACTGTCTGGCCAATCCAAGACTTCTTAGATGACGTGGTGACATTTTGAATTGTGGACGGGTCTAAGAATGAATACAAATGCAATAAGCAATTGAATAACTAATTGGTGATACTTCATATGAATCAGAACATTAACGAGCTTTATCATTCCACTACTGTGTCATTTTACCAAAGAAAGTAATGAGGAAGGCAAAATATGCCACAGTATTACATTTTAAAACAAGGCAAAAATACGTCGCAACATATTGGCGGCACTGAACGATCCAAACATTGTTTTTTTTTTCGTTTTTTACATTTGACTTTTAAAGAAGGGAACTTTTAAGCACAAAGGAACACAAAGGACATTTGAATGCTTTAGTTCTGGTTTTTCCATCTTTCGCGCACATCTTATGCAATGGATACGATGCACAGATAAAGCCATAGGATGTAATTCGCACACTAAAAGTTAAAATACTAAAAACTGAAAATAATAGTGGAATAATAAATCTTTCATTCGATGGTTCAACACATAACACGAGCGGAAATCTTGTTCGTTGCTTGTATTTTTCCTCGCCTATTCAGGGCTTGGAAAAATTATTATGTTGACAGCGTTGCGACCTCCTCGGAGACTCAAACTGGTGTTTAATTTACTGTGAAATTTATTTGAATGAAAATACAATAAAGCAAGGGTACAATCTAAAAGAATACAACAGAAATTTTTAAAACCTGAGCTTCTGAGGGTGTTTTGTATAAAATTATCAAAGGCGTGAGTGTGGAACTTGTCAACCAACTCCAAAAACTCATGAGAGTGTTTGTTGTCAGTACTATGGACCTTTGGCAGTTGGCAATGCTGTGGTAAATGTCAATTAAAAAGGAATTTAGATTTTTAGTTGGAATTTCACACATGAATGGCTGAATGTGTTCACGGTTTCTTATGATGTCTCACTTTAAATTCAGCATAATGTATGTGAGCCACGTTGGGTTCCAGACGGAAGCAGATTATTTCATTCACAGACAATGCAAATTTTTGTGATTTCACTCTGTTGTTTGTCAGAAGATAGCTAAGAAATGTACAAAGTTTTAAAAGGCATGTGCTGAACTGTTATTCTGCCCATTACAGCTTTTGTTTTGCGATGTCCTTGTTGTCATCACCGTTAAGTTTTGCGTTAAAGTCCCTCAAGTGCTTGCACTGTAAAACAAACTTGCTTGCCATCAAATTTAAATATACTTGTGTTGCATAAGCAGTTAGACTTTTTGGTGCAGTTTCCTTTTGGGTGCAAAATTAAATTTGGTCAAATTGATCTTAAACAATATACCTATTTGGAAGCTCAAGGTTACAATTTCAAAATTTCTACTAGTTCCCAATAAAATCCCTTGATGGAGAAGTTCAGAGCACTGAGATGGATTCATAAACCAGTTGGCTTACCACGTGTACATTTTTCCTATCGCAGTAGATGAGTCAGTCATCCCAGAATGAAAGATGTAAACACGGCGAAGATTGAAACTACAGTCAATTTTTGTTAGCAGCCAATTAACAGCGACAGTCTTTAATTCAAAACATTAGGGTTACAATTAATTATCAGAACTTACTACTCAATTAATAGTACGCCATTAGATCGAAATAGAGCTGACCTCCCTCATTTGTAATTCCAGCTACCAAGATGACCTCCACAAATGGTGAGTATCAAGTTCCAGCCGTGTGTATTGCAGTAAGATGTTAACACATGATCATCAGGAAAAAAATTACGAAACTCTCGGAGAGTAAATTTTAAATAGAGGCAACGTTCTCCTACACAATATTTCAAATATAAATATATAAATAAAAAATGGCTGCTTATCAGAATACAAGTAATCCAAACTATCGTAGCAGAATGTACAATTTTTAATTTACAAAACAAATTTACAACATAATTTGAAAGCACTCCAGCAAAAATACTAAAGCAACTATTTGCCACAGGCTCAGTGAAGAAAGTTGAATGTGAACTGCTAGCCGCCAAATACCAAGGTTCCAAATAATGTACACTTTATTCTTCCTGTTATTTATCTCTGCACAAGTTCAAGTCTATTCGAAATCTAGTGGAAATATATATGTTTCTGTCAGAAAGATTGTCAGGATAATCAAGCACATAAAGTAACGTATACATACCCGTTGGTGTCTCAAATTCCGCGACTAGTAGTCATTTAATTTTGTCTTACTAATAACAGATTTTTACGTCACTTCATAATAATTATGACGATAATTTCAGTAATTTCGTGTCATAGCGAAACAGAATGATCTCATTGGCTTTATCATATGGCTTACAAACTGAAGAAATGAAGAATTTATTTAAGCAGAAGTTGACAATTTACATCTGGTGATATAAATTCATTGACTCAAACCCACAGTTTTCCACTTAGCAATTTAAGCTTTATATACCACACGGCTTTATATTTTCTTTCCCTGTTAGGGTTTCTCGGAGCCAATTCCAAACATCAAGATCCAAGGTTCAGCAGTGCAAACAAGGTTGGAGTCAAATCCAGCAATAAGCTAATTACTGTTAATGTCGACAAGGACTTGTTTGTCAAGCTCTTCATCCCATCCAATCTGCCTGAAAGATGTGCTGAGCTTTGACCTGTCTTCAATCCCATATTCACTCACTAATGGAAGTCTTAGAAAAGGTGTTAAGAGCACACTATGCTCTCTTCTATAGAAAGACATTCATGTAGTTCAGCAACTTACAGCATTGACAAATCCACAGGTTGTTGTTATCAATGGCATGGCAGTTCTACAGTTGACAAAATCTTCTGGAGCAGATACCTTTGGTGAATTCTTACAAAAATATTTCAACATCGTCAGTTCCCCCCTCTTTTCTAGCAACTGTCTGCAAGTCCACATGGTCTTTAACCAATACTGAGCAACTTCATGAAAGGAGGGCGTCAGCAAAGGGGAACATTCATTGGCCTCAAAATGCAAATCAGAGGTCTTGCCACTCCAGTACCAAGACAATGGAGAAAGTATCTTGCAAATCCAAAAAAAAGGTATGGCTTTAATTTTTTAGTTCAGCATGTTTTATTTCCACCATTGGTTTATTAAAGTTTCATTACCAGAAATTTAGAGTTGTAGCAATCAACATTTGTTGCATTTGATGTATGTTTATTCTTAAACATGAATGCTATGTTTTTGACTCTAGGTAAACCAATGCAATTTCCTGTTGGTTGCTTTCTGCAGATTTGGCAAAAGTGAAACCTTTGTTTACAGCGTTTACTTGACTGCAAAAAGACAAGCATTGCAGATGAATTATGTTATCACATGTTCTGCCAGAATAAGCAAAAAAAACGAAATGCTTCCACCAACAACTGATTGTCTACTTCAACATCTGAAGCAATCAAACTACAAAGCCTTCATGTGGAGTCATGCCCTTGAAGCTATGCAGGATCTTAAATCAACGGAGGGTCATGGATGGACGAAGAACGGGGAGCTTCTTGTACCACAGCCAATCACAAAAGCACTAGCACCAGTAAACGTTCTCAGTGACTCAGAAAAAAGCTGTGAAGAGAGTATCTTTGAAGAGGAACTGTTAAATAGTTGACATATGAGGCATCTATACTTAAGAGGATAGCTTTCAGTCGATTAACGATGGAAAAGCTCAACAGACCATAATAAGTTATGATATTGTGTTTTTAGTTGTAATATGTATCGCTCCAAGGTAAGAGGTAGTGTAAATACAAGATTTGGAAGGATGACATAAGCATGATTTCACTTTAGGGCAAGAGGGCAGATTTAGGCCCCTTGGAGGTCACATGCTTGGTGATGTGACACAATTTGTAGAAGTTGAGCACACCTGGCTTCTTGCCATTAAGAGCTAATGATATAGTCAGAAGTTTTTTTTCACAAAAACATAAAAATGGCCACAAACAGTGGTAACCTGACTGCCCTTCTTTTTCATGTCAAATCGTAAATTGGGTGAAAATGATATTTATCTCATTGCTTTAAGCTTAATAAACAAACATTTGGCTGAAACTGTGGACTGGGCAACCCTTTCATAGATAATAGCAAAATAATAAGGGATATTTCATAAATTTATGCCATAGAAGATGTATAGATATTCTTATAACAGTTTTAGAAGGCTATTTTGACTCCTCCAGGGTCATATGGTAGGTCACATGACCTCAATTTGCACATCCTGAGTATGATTGGGATAAATGTTGTTAAGATGTAACTATAACTGAAGGTTTCTGTCATAACAAGTGAATAGTTTTGGCACTACCAGTGGTTAAATGGCTGTGCCTTGTTTCCATGAATTGAAAGGGTGACATACAAAAATGCCTTCTTAACTCATAACTAATTCTCAATTCAACTCTACAAACTACCTCCCAAACCAGCAAGTCACGGAAATCAATTATCAAAGCACAGCATTTGTCTTTCCTTTCCCAGTTTTTAGATGGAAAAAAGTGAAGGTTGTAATCACTCAGTAGTAGAGTCCATCACTTTTGTATTATTTAGCACTCGAGTATTTAGTATAAGGTGGCATTAGGCCTTCAAATTATGAATTATAAAATGGATTCTTGCCCCTAAATAGTATATCTTTTTGAATGCCACACATGCAAATATGTGCACAAATCTTCAGCATGTGGTTTTAGTTTTAGCCACTTTTTTGCTTTTATCTACTTATCTCAGCTGTCAGTGAAACACTGAAATGTGCAATTCATCAGCTGACGCTTGGAATTTTGGCCAGTTCTCAGATTTCCATCAAGCTTCAACCAAGGCCCTTTGTACTAGCCTTGTGCACTAGTCAAATGGAGTGAATTTTAGGTTGTCACAATGACTCAGAAATGGCCTTAAGCCATTTTCTGAGTTTAACACAATCCAACTGAAGCAACAACTTGGTAAAACATTTTCATGTCCTCCTAAGCAAAATAATGTGAGTAATTATTCCACTGAAATTCAAGTGTCCCAACCAGTACTTAGGACCAATGCATACAAAGCCAAAAAGGATTTGATGTGGAATTCAGTTTTCTTGCACTTTTGGACAGATTTGTCAGTTTTGTGTAACTGACCCTAATAACAGGAGTCGCACTGTAAACTTAAATTAAATTCAGATATAGAAAATTAAGGTTAAAATATACTTACAGTGAACTACAATTGTTGTGTTAATGGAAGTGACTTCCATTGAGTTATTGGCTTGACATGTATATTGTCCTGCATCTGTTCTGTTTATATTATTGAACTCCAAAGATATAGCTTCCTTCCCTGAACTTTTCCATACTCCATTTCTAATCCATGCTACATAAGGTGGTGGTTTCCCAGAAGCTTTACAGATTATGGTGGCATTGGATCCTTCAATGAAATATTTTCTTCCTAAAGAGAGGTTTATAAGTAATGCCTCTGAAAGGTAAAAGAAATTATATCATTCCTCATATGGTGTAGCAAATCTTACTTGGACTGAGTTCTAAAATTTACCCAGTTACAATAAAATAATCAACCTAGGGAATTAAGGGATAATTCAGGAAGTCACTCATTAAACTAAGGACCCCGGCTTTAAAGCTACTCCCAATTTTCTTGATAAAACTTTTGCTGCTGCACAAACAAATAGGAACAGAGCCAATCAAGCCACACCTCACTTGGAACTTAGCCTGAAAGAGGATCTACTAAAGCATCCCCAACCCAGAGAATTGAAATTTTGATGAAAGAGAAACCATGAATGCTTTGGGATAAAAAGAATACACCAGTGGCATGCTGAATGCTGCTTGCCATTACCTAAAGTTAAAAGGAGAACTTACTAAACTCCATGTAATGATTGTTCTTTTATCAAACATTACATAACTTGATTGCTCACCATGATTGTTCTGCAAAGGGAGTTTGCAGAAGGGAGAGTTTCTGACTTTTCCTTTGCATTTTGAAGAATCATACCCAAAAATAAACGGTTCTTAAGCCCAAGTCAAATGCAAAGAAATTAAATTATTTCCTGCATTAAGAAAAGATTGTACAGAGACCACTGTTAACAACTTGTGCTGAAACATTTTGCTACTTCCCAATAGAGAGTTATCACGCAGCATAAATTAAAAACATCCTCAACCTGTCGCAGGCATTACATGTACAATGAGGTGGAGTCATTTCATCAGAGCTCTATGAACACACTTTACTCCCCTAAAGAGGAGATTGTGAAAAAGTGTTCCCAAAACTTATGGCAAGATAATTTAGGTTGGTCCTTAAAACTAAAGTGAAATCAGCCATAGCTGATATGAGGCAAACAGGCTGATGAAATGTTTATACAACATGGTCCAGTCTTAGTTTTGGTGAAAATGCAAAACAGGCAGTACCCAGAACATTGGGTGGGAAATACTTGGGAGCAAGAAGGTGGCTTAAATTCCCGCTAAGTAGTTCCTGGTAATAGGTAACACAAGATTTGAGCTTGTTTGACATTACCAAAGAACTATCTTCCAGACCATCAAGAGATGCTGATGTTTATTAAGAAACTACAGGAGATGATGGGAAAGGAATTGATCCTACATGAAATTATAATTAAAGGATACACTGGCCTTTCAATCAGATATAGTGACAGCTAAACACCCTCAGCGCTAGATATTACAGGCTGCATTAAGTTGGAAGACCATTATCATGTGTTTGGCCTTATAAATATGTGCAAACAGCTGCCTCCTCTAAGATTTTTAAAATTGAATGGAGCTATTGGGTTTTTCCTGAGTCCATAATAGACATCTTAACTGACTAGAATCTTCCAGAGTTAACAGGGACAACATCAAGGTGGGGGTTATCTCTATGGGCCAAAATATTCAAAGTGTTAAGCACTACAAGGCTTTGAGAATGCATCATGTCCCAAAAGTAAGTGAAATGCAGTGGTTGTTTAACACCTAAAATACTTCAATTAACATTTAAGTTGGCCAGGAATACACATTTTTTTTCTATATTTAGAGTCACTTAAACTTGGAATCTGGGACAGGAAATGGCTATAGGATGAGGAAATACAGAAACCTACTGAAGAAGCAAAAAGCTGAAAAAAAAAAAAACCTCCCTCCCCCTGATGTCATCAATGACATCAGCAGTAAAATAGTGGAAACCTTACGATGTATGCCAAATTTAAGCACTCTACTGAGCTAAATGATACCAACATAAAAACAATTACTGACCTATCTCAGTCATTTCCATAGTCACCAAAGTGTTTGAAAGGATTGTGTATGATCAGTTTATGAACCTCATAAATAGTGAAGAAATCATCTCTAAACCACAATCTAGTTTCAGGTCTTTACAATCAACTGTTACTGCTCTTCTTAATTGAAGCCACTGACCGTTGAGCATTTAATATCAATCATGGTTACAACAATGCTGTGGTGTTTCTCAACTTAAAAGAGGGATTCAACACTGTTGATCATGAGGTAATACTCACTAAAATGAATCAATGTGGTATTCAAGGAAAACTCTTGATTGGTTTAAATCATATTTGAGGAATCACTCACAACAGTGCTCAGTTAACAATTGTCTCTCTGACTTCACCAATCTTAAATGTGGTGTGCCACAGGGAACGATCCTTGGCCCTCTTTTAACTCTAATTTATATTAACCATTTTCCTAACTGTCTATCGTTCAGTGTACTTAGAATGTATGCTGATGACACCCACATCACTTATGCTTGCTCTGATTTACATTTGATCCAGTCTGGTCTATCTCACAACCTTGAAAAGCTAAGCAAATGGCTTGTGTCTAACAGACTCACTTTGAATACTAGAAAAACTGAATTTATGTTGATCTGCTCTAGGCAAAGATTAAGTACTCTATCCGATACAATCAAACTTTCCATAGATAATGTTCCAATTGGACAAGTTTCCTCTGTGAAATCCCTTGGAATATAAATAGATGAAAATTTAACGTGGCATTCCCACCTTGATAAACTGTGTAAAAGGATGGCTACTGCTATTGGAGACTTAAAGTGAGTTAAGCCATTTGTGCCTCAATCCACCCTACTCAATACCTAGAACTCACTACTTCAATCTCACTTTGATTACTGTATAGCATAGTCTGGGGTAATTGTGGCAAAAAATTATCTAACAAGCTACAAAAACTACAAAACCGTGCTGCACACGTAATAACTTCATCAAACTATGATGTAGATGTTGATTCCTTGTCTCACAAACTCAGCTGAAATTAAAGACTTTTAAAAAATCTCAATGTCAAATTCAGAACACTTTAATGGTTTGCAAGCCTTTCTACCATCTGGTTCCCGAATATCTCACGTCTAAATTTATAGAGTGAAACGAATCAAACTATTCTATGTGGGGCTCAGTGAACAAACTTGTTGTCCAATTTCCAAGAACTAACTACCTGAAAAATAGTTTTAGTTATAGCGGCTCAACCGTTTGGAATAGCTTACCCTGTAACATTAGAGAGTCTGGTTCATTAAACCAATTTAAACACCTTCTCTATCATAATTTTTAGACACTGCATTAATGGAAATCAGGTTTTTAAGTGGCATATTGGTGTTAGTTCATATAATGTGAGGATTATGATCTTTAGTTCTTAGGATGTTTTTGGAATTTTTTGTACCTGATGATCAATTCTTTTTTTTTTTAACTGTGTATAAATAATGATTAAATAAATAAATGAATAAATAAACATGGAAGATCCCATGTCATCTGGAAAAGGCATTTAATCACTTGATGATGAAATGTAGTCAGGATAAAAATGAAATTCTTTTGAAACCCATTGCCAAAAGGATAGTGATGAACACACTTAAAGTCAAACCCTGCAAAACTATTTACAGTGCATGGGACATCTTGGATATTGGGTTAGCAGACAGGAGCAGACACTTCTCCACAACAGTACCTTGTTTCATAATAGACTGCATTCTTTATGTCACACCTTTTGTCCAAAGGTAATCTACATGTAAACAGACAATCAGCATCTTGGTAGAGATGAAAGGAGAGAGACTACCCATCACATCTTCTAGAGGCCTTTGGGTTCTTTTTGATTGCAAATGGCTTTCCACAATTGCAAATTCAATATTGGCAAATTTTTCTTTTTCCATATGTTTCTAATTCTTGAAATAAAAAGTTAGACAATACTTTGCAGATATATCAAACCTTGCAAATGATTTACAACAGGGGGTGGATTTGATCACATGTCACAAAGCTTCAATTCATTCAGAAAGTTTGTTTTCCATTTCGCAGCTGTAATTCTCATTGCTTTTAAGGAACAAGAAGTCACATTTATGACTTAAATGACCAATCCATTGAGATTCAAGTATTCTTAAGTATATTTACAGTACTTTCAATTTTAGGTTTCCATTAGGTCTGTATATATCTCAATCAAGAGGGTAAAGAGGAAGCATCAAGTAACAACATCTGCTAAGAATAGCATTCCTACCTGGCCACATTAATCATCATTGAAATTATTTTCTGTTTACAAGCTCAGCTTCTTTTAAGCAGCGTAAAGAGCTTGGATTATAGACTCTGATGGTTTATTGCTTTCATAACTTAAAGGAAATTTTGCTCTTTCAAGTCTTGCCTTGCACCTTGGTGTCAGAAAATTACTTGAGGAAGTCACCATTCTGTTGACTAAATTTATATCTGTAAACCTTGAAGATCATAATCCTCAGAAAGCAGCAAACAATGCAATGCCAACTTTCATTGCCTTTGGCAAGTCACTCTAAAAGGCTACAAAAGCCACATAATTTTTTTTGTACCAGCTGCCTGTGATTGGTCGTGCAATATTTTGATCTAGCAAAATTGTACAACCAGTTGCATTGTTTCTAGTTTTTTCTGACCATTTTTAGTTGAAAACTTTGCTGAGAGAAAATCTCAGCACTCATATATCTATGCATCAAAGAGCAACCCAGTAGTTGGTGCAAGAAGCATAAAGTCATAACTCTTTGACTTCTTACTGATGAGAAACAGCAAATTAAAAGGTGGAATTTCTTGTCTCCTTTTAGGAGTGTGGTGTCACATGCCAAGTAAAAGTAGCACTTAAGTGTTCCCAAAAGTTGGGTTAGCTAGCCAATTTCAGCCCTGCATATAAAGGTTTACACAAATTTATGCTATTGTTTACTTTCACCAGATCTCAGAAATATGAGAAACATGAGTTGAGTGCATTTGGTTTGTGTTTGATTATTAATGGTTACGTACCTGCCACAATAAGCTTAACTGAGCTTTTAACCTCCCCTGCAGGGTTTTTTGATATTACACATCTAAATTTGGTATTGTCTCTAGGGCTGATGTTCTTGATAATCAGGGTAGCTCTTCCTTCAATTTTAACTCTTTCTTTGTACGATGAAGGAATACTAGGATGTTCTTGCACACCATGGCTGTTGTTAAAAATCATTGCTTCAAATTTACCATTCACCAGAACACTGTAGACAATGCCTCTAATTTTATTATGTGGACCAGCATAGTTCCACACCAGGTTGGCATCACTACCATTGTTGAAGTAGCTTGGATCAGAAGGTTCCTGGGTGAATTTCACATCCACACCCCCTAAATAGACAACCATAAACATCCAATTCTCAGCTCTTTAGTTATATACATACATAAGGATTATATTTAAGAAGAAGGGCTTAAATAGAGTCCACCATAAAGGCACTTTAAGTGTAAGAAGTAACAACAATAATTTTTGCTTCTTCATTGAAGAACTGAATTCCCAGTTTTCTGGGAATTCCTAGGAATTCCTAGAAATTCTCAAAAATTCCCAATTATGCAAATGACCCTTGCAAACTGAATTCCCAGTTTTCTGGGAATTTCTGGGAATTCCTAGGAATTCCTAGGAATTCTCAAAAATTCCCAACTATGCAAATTAACTCTGATTTAAAAAGCTTGGAATTACTGGGAATTTCTGGGAAAGGAAGACTCCAGTTTTGTGAGGACTTGGAATCCCTAGGAATTCCTAGGAATTCTCAGTTTTACAAACTACCTATAATTTAAGAAGTGTGGAACTCTTGGGAATTTCTGGGAATTGAATTTGAGGCAATTTTAATACCCTGAGGTCCACATAAATTCTAAGAAATTCTCAATACCTTAAATGTGAAGGTTTTAAGAAAAAGAGTAATTTCAGAGGCTTAAAACTTTGGCTTAATAAAAGGTATGCTATACCTTAAAAAACTCACCAAGAGATATACATACATGTACATGTTTATAACTTAAAGATCATGAAATTTATTACTCAAACTAAGTTTTAGTAAATCTTTACATTAATATGGATTTTCTCATGAACCAGCTGTCAGTTATGTTAAATGGAAATTGCCAACTTCCACAATAATTAACAATAATTACATTGTTATCTTACTTCCCTAACCTACATTACTGGTTGCCTTTGTTAGAAAACCTTGGAACAGTCAAGCTCAGTTGCCTCAAACGCTGTCAGAGACCTTTTGTTGACAATACTTTTAGTAGAAATTTCATGCCTTAGACAAACAAATTCAACACCTAATTAATCTTTCTTTCTTCATGATTGTTGTTGCTGCTTTTTTTTTCAGTTTTTTGCTCTATTTTCATGACTAATTGCTGTAATTTGTTTTAAAAATTGCTGTTTTTATTCTTAAAAAACATTTTTGTACGAGTTCCAATACTTGTGGATCATCCACACACTTTGCAAACATTTGGCGTGCAGACAAGACAGAGGTAGTCAATGTTCCCTTTGAGGAAAAACACCTTTTATATGACGTCTTCAATTTACTTTATTTGAAACTCTGATCTGAAAATATTTGTCAACAAGACTTGTTAGTAGTGAGAAGTACCAACCAAGTTTCCTTTCATAACTTAATTTCTTAAATGTCCCAATCACTGGATCTCCCAAAAAAATATTACATCTTTTTATTTTTGGAGCAAATTACAAGTCCTTCTTTCTACAAAAATGAAAAGTGCTAGTCACACTTCAATAATAACAGCTCTTAAGTTTACTTGTTGTTCTTCTCTGTCTGTCAGCTATCAACAAAATTGTTTTATACTTCGGGCAGTGCATAACTATTTGTGGACCAGAGTTTCAACGCACCTCTGTAATCGCATATAGCTACTCCTGTCTCTTGTACAAATGTTTCTCCTTTGTAAGACGCACTCTACTCTGTTGTCAATACTGCTTTAAGTTCAGTGGAAACGACTGACTGAGGAATCGAGATGGCGGTGTTGGAACGTGTTGCTGAACGCTTGCTACGGTCAAGCTTTGTAGATTTAGGTACTGGTACACTGGGATCATCTATGTATCTCTATATGTGGTATCCTTCTTTTATAAATATGAGGGTAAAAGACGATTTGTAGTCGCATTCAAAACAGTGATTGGCTTGTGTTATTTCTCACCTTTGCCATTAACACAACTCAAGTGAGTTTCGAGTCTTTGTTTCCTCGACAACTTTCGGCCACAAATCGTGCATTTGTAATACGATCGATTCTTGTCGATTATTTCTACATAGAGTGAGCTCACATCTTTATTTATATCACCAAGCTATCTATCTTCTAGAAGCAGAGAACCGGTCGGAGAAGTCAGAATAAAGTTGGGCGCTTCTCTTAACACTGCAATCGGCAAGCCAGCTGATTCACTTTGCTAGCCAATTACAAGTCCTAAAAGATCCACGTGATCATGCCCGTGATCGGAAACAAAGAAGACTCCATTTGGCGCTCATCTTTAAATGTACTTTTCATCGGTTGATCGCTTTTCTCAACTGTTTTGCTTAATATAACATTTCTAAAGATAGCTATTATTGTGGTTCAATGGGAAAACGAGAATAGCGTGAGTGTTGTAAAAGAGAAGAAAGTCGTTGGCGCCGTGGAGTTAAAAGAAGGGACAACAGTTGACATATGGACTGGTACAAACAAGGGTCGAGTGGCCATCTGTAAAGCTACGATTTTGAAAGTTTGTGGTGAGTAAAAATTGCGATATTCGTTACGTGATCAAAATCTTATAAAAGAATAGATGTAGCGGGTTGAATTAAGCTTACATAACGCTCGGTGCAACTGAAACTAGAATAATTCTGAGAATCGAATCGGTCACTTGCATGTCGCAGTTTCGTAAGCTTATGCTTTACAATGAAATAAACCTATCAGTAAGGTTTCAAGATTCCTCTAGTCACGTTTGGGAACATTCAAGATTCATAACAAACCTTAGTACATAAAGAAGCCCTCCTTGGTAAAAACAAAATAATGTATTCCGCCCTTTTTTAGTAAAATCCATGAGAGAGATGTACTAACTCCAATATAAAAGTCACTCAATATAACAGAGATTTCTCAATTTGAGAATCCAATGAATGCCCTTTTCCTCATAGCCATCTTAAAAGCCTGGTCTGAGCTTTAAACATACATATTTTAATATAATTATTATTTTTTTTCAAATTCAGATGTCAAGGAATCCAGATAGAAAATGTTCAAGGTTCTTGTTGACAACCTCATTCAAGGCCAACTCATTGTGAGCCCAGGAAAAAAAATACAAACAGTACAAACAGCAGCTAAGTTTGCAGTTTAGGATAACTTCATTCTAATTTATTGTTACAGTTACAACAAGATTTTAATCAAAAACTCAATTTTATTTGTCTGTAATTAGCCCCTTCACTCCCAAGAATATAACTATATAAATATAACTTAAGATGTTGTATTTTATGGAAGAGAATCAACAGATTTTATTCACAATTTGTGTCAAACCAAATTTAATGATTGATTAGAACTATTTTATATGAATAGCTGTAATTGAGGATTAATCCGTATGAAGTTTTCAAGAAAAGAAAAATAAATCAAATTCCATCCTAATATTACCAGACATTGATGTTAGTAATTAATCAAAAATATTTTACATGTAAGCCTTAATTAAGCTTCTAAATAAATTTCATTGAAGACTTGAATTTTAGCTGGGTTTTTTTAATTTAAAGTATTTATTTTATATCATTAGCCTCAAATTTTTGCTTAAAATTCCCAGTAATTCTTAAACATTCCTAAAAATTCCCAGAAATTCCCAGAAATTCCTAGGAATTTTTTAGATTTACAGCTTTTCAGGGAAAGTTATTGGTTCTCTGAGTTGGAATTCCTAGGAATTCCTAGGAATTCCAAGTCCTGTTGGCTATAAACTTGGAATTTCTGGGAATTTCTGGGAATTTCTAGGAATTTCTAGGTTTTTAGAACCAGAGTTGTTATGGTTGGGAATTCCTAGGAATTCCCAGTCCGAATTTACCGTGAAAATTCACACCTTTATTCCTAGGAATTCCTAGGATTCCTAGGAATTCCAAAAGCCATTTCGCAAGGGAAATAGATTCCATGTTGCTGAGGCTCTGTACAGTTATAAATCACAGAGGGCGTCAAAATGTGCCAAGAACATCAGTTACACACTCAACTGCACCTAGCTTGCTCTGTGCATTTAGTTAGTAAAAAATAGTACAATAGTAAACAGTTCTGTTGGGCCGTTTGCTATTTTGCTCTGTTTTAATAACTGACAAGCTAACAAGCTAAGCTGATCTCATGTGCCACTTTTTTTTTCTTACCATATTCTGACATCACATGTGATCTATTACTGAACAGATGAACAGCAATATGGAATCTATTTGTTAAACAGACAATGGAAAATTGTGGTGGATTTGTTTACATGCTTTTGTATAAATTGATTGCCAAGCTCACTGGTGGTTATATAGCCACAAGAAAATGGCTTCCTGCTTTGCTGTGTTATTAAGCTAGGAGAAAATAATTTCAATAAACGAAGCAACTGTCACAAAAAATACAAAACAGCAACCATGTGCTTTGATAGCATTGAATGGTAAATTAACTAACCTTTCAACCCTTAATTTCTACCTGGAAAAATCAGATTTTTCTTTCACTGCATTGTAAAGCATTATACAGGGGAAAGATGAAAATTTGACTTTTTCTGTACCTTTGTGTCATCAACATTCTGACATAATCTACTTATTGTGATCCAACCTATGCATATTTCTTGTCTCCTTTTAGGATTGTTGTGTCACATGCCAAGTAAAAGTATCACTATTGTTTCCAAAAGTCGGGTTAGCTAGCCATGCACTTTCAGCCCTGCATATAAAGATTTGTGCAAATTTATTCCATAATGTTTACTTTTTCTAGATCTCAGAAATGTGAGAGACACATTAGTTTAATGCATTTGGTTTGTGTAATAATTGTTTAAGTATACAGTAATTGCTCAGGTGCTTCCAAATTCTGCTATAAATTCTGTTAATAAAGAAATCATTGCCCAAATTTTGTTACAATTGTATTGATTACCTGTATCAAGATGAGCCAACAGTTTTAAGAGGTTTTTTGAATTCAATCAGCAAAAACTTCATCCCTTTGTTTAATAAAGTGTTCTGCTAATCTTTTAATATCTTTCATGCTCTTCAAAGTTTAATTTTCTACTATTGCTTTTATTACTTCCTCACAAACATTTGACAAAATGCAGGGCAGCCATTTTGAAATTTAGTGCTCTCACTACATGTATAATCACCCGTGCATGGTAATTATAATTATAGCAAGATATGATGCAATCCTTGACCAATAAGAGAATGCGCATCTCTATAATCACCTGTCATCACATAACACAAGTTAAAACAACAACAACAGCAAAAACAACAATGCAATGATCAATCATGTCACATGTGCATGATTATCCGGAAACTTCAGCACATTAAGCTGACATAAAAATTCCAATGTTATAAAAAAGATATCAACCACAATTTTCTATTGTCTAGAACCTTGGCCATGGAAAGGATGTCAACAATGTTCAAAACTGTTTTGAAATCACTCAGCTGCTCCTCCTAATTAGCTTTGAATATCTTTGACCTCATTAATCTATGATCAATGAGGTTTTATATAATAAGCTGAATTCTACATGCATTTTGATTGGTTCTTTCATGTACTTATGATTTAGTGGAGGACAAATCCATTAGTGACGTCACCATTGATAAATTTTGCTTCTTCATTAATAAAACAAATAGATTCCATGTTTCTGTGGCTCTGTTGTTAATCACAGAGGACGTCAGAACATGCGAAGAACATCAGTGACACACTCATCTGCGCCTAACTTGTTCTAGGCATTCAGTGAGTAAAACATAGAACACTAGTGTACATTGCTGTTATTTCCCTCGCTTTCTCACTCCTCTACTACTGTTGCATCTAGTTTGCTCCATTTTCATAACTGAATGCCTGGAACAAGCTAAATAGCTGTTATATGTGCCCCTTTTTTTTTACTTACCATGTTCTGACATTACATGTGATCTATTACTGAACAGATGCAGAACAACATGGAATCTATTTTTTAAATAGACAATGGAAAATTATGGTGGATTTGTTTAAGTGCCAAGCTCATTGGTGGTTAGCCACCAGCCATTCACATCAGCTTGAAACATCGCATGACAACAAAATGACTTCCCACTTTGCTGTGGTAGACTATGAGAAAATAGTTTCAATAAACAAAGCAGCTTTCATGAAAAATAAAAAATAGAGTTCTGAAAATGGTTGAATATGGTTGGGAGATGTAGGAAATATAGATGGTTCATATTTAATGAGTGCATGTGATTTATATTCACAAGATGTGTAGATTTAAACAATGAGCGGGGAACAGGTGAGTTTTTGTCTATAAAAATTGTACAATTGTGAACTTTAAGTAATGTGAGGAATTGCGGGTTGTGTGTGTTTTATATGCAGAAAATGGAGCAATATTTATGATTACTGCATGCTGGGAACAAAGTAAAGACAAAAATGAGGAATAAATTAAATGATTGAAAAATGTTTGTTAATACCATGGGAATTATAGTGCCAATTTGAAACATAAAGTTTTGGTCATTCACATAAGCACAAATGAAATGACAAAGGTGGACCGTAATGCTTTCTTATCAGAGTCAGAACCTGGAAATTTAAATCTTTTTTTACCATTTTGGAGGAGTGATCAGTTTGCATGAGGTGAAATCAGAGAGATTTTTACCAATTTTCTTAAAATCCAGCTTTCTCTGACATTATTTTCATTAATTAATTTAATTTGTTTACACAAACCACTGACTACTTGTTTTTAACCCTAAAGTCATGATTCTACAGTTGTAGGCAACCAGCAAACATTGCTGACATTCACTTTCATTCACTTTGGCAAGCTCCCACACCACAAGGGTAAAAAAACCCATGTTATTGTTTTTACTGGTCAAAAATTTCAACTTCAACTTGTGATTGGTCAGATGCTCATTTCTCACTTGTGAGAAAAACCATGCAACCTATCAGAATTTTTGCGGTCTTTTACAAATCAATTTTTTTTTTCAAATTTAGCTTGGAGTAAATATCAGGGTGTACTATATTATAAGCCCACATGTATACACATGCATTTCAAAAATTTTGGTCCTAGTAAAACTTTCCCTTTTCAAAAATATACAACAAAAATAAGTAGCCCAAGACTACCGGTGTGGGATACCACAACCATTATGTACATAACGCTAAAAACTGGTCAAGTCAGTAGACATATCATACATGTACTAGGTAATTGAGCAAATAATGCTCAATTATCCATCCAATGAGTGGAAAAATTGTTAACAGCTCTTCCCAATGATGAGTGATGGATGCCAAGGAAAAGAGTTTAGGTACGGCAACTCTTTCCTGGGTTTGCATAGCCATCATGTTTATAGTGGAAAGCCATCTGACAAAGCAGTAACTTTTCTCGTGGCTAAGAATACGACTCATACTAATCAAGAAAAGAGTGCACCGCTCAGTTTCAATTTTGATGTTATATTCTGAACGTATAGTAGTGTTACATTTGAAGCATACAATCCTTTGCTCTTGATTTCTATCGCATCATGGTTATTCAGACTTCATTTATCACGTGATTGAAATCCCAACAACATATCTTAAATTTGAAATACAAAAACTGTTAAAAGCCACCTTGGAGTTCGGAAATCATTTTGACAAACATCACGGTTAGAAATAAAGGGTCGGCGTTTTTGGTGTCTAAGCTTAAAATTAAAACACAGTAAAATCCTTTGTACGGGAGAACACACGTACCTGACCCGTCAAACTTTACCAGCAGAAGAAAGAGTAAGTAAATTTCATAATCACGGAAAGACACCATCTTATCAGACTTTCGCTGGTGCTTCAATGAGGAAGGTTGTGCCTAAATCCTTACGGAAGTCCCTTGAAGGGATAGAAGGCCCCTCTTCATTTTGAGACTGGGACCGAGTGTCACTATCACCCTTCGTGAACAGTGTCGACCGTAATGGGTGTCTCCAAACCGAAGACCGAAGACCGAAGACCGAAGACCGAAGACCGAAGACCGAAGACCGAAGACCGAAGACCGAAGACCGAAGACCGAAGACCGAAGACCGAAGACCGAAGACCGAAGACCGAAGACCGAAGACCGAAGACCGAAGACCGAAGACCGAAGACCGAAGACCGAAGACCGTTTTTCCCACCTCAAACTACAAAATGAAGATCTCCGCCAAAACGCTTTACTTGACGCTAAAACACTGAATTCGATGGGGTCTTCGTTTTGTAGTTTTACCCACCTCAAACTACAAAACGAAGACCCTCGCTGAAACGTTTTATTTGACGCTAAAGCATTGAAATCAATGGGGTCTACGTTTTGTAGCTTTACCCGCCTCAAACTACAAAACGAAGACCGTCTCTAAAGTGCCGGTGTCCATTTTGTAGAAATTGCCGACCTTCAGGTCAAGAGACTGTGAGATATCACCACTACCAGTCAATAACGCTTTAAAGATGAATTACAGTAAAAGCTCTACTAAGCCGCCAGGGGAGCTTAATTAATTTCAGGCCTTAATAGAGAGGGGGCGCTTATTTCAAATCTTAAAACACCGTTTCCGTCTTAAAATGGGTTTGTACAAACTCAACTGCGGTGAAACTTTAAATGGAACGAATTATTTAATATGGAGCAGCCAACATTATTATGTATTTGAATGTATATTTGTTTCAAAACAAATCAAATGGTCCGAGGGCTTTTACTGGGCCAAATCCCTCTAAGCTGAAATCGCTGCTGATTTGTTTGTATCCTACAATACATTTCTATTAATTTACACCAATTTTCTTTGCATATATTTCAATGTGATTGTGGGTGGTGCATAATTTATCTGCAGTTTGTATTTATATACTTAAGTTCAACCTCCCTCCCTGGAGGTTCATGGTCAGTGTCTGACTCTGCATTCGGGAAGGTTCAGGTTTCCTCGTCAGATAAAAAGATGATTTTTCCTGACTGGTATCAGGTACACATTTGTAACTTACGCCAGTGATCGTAGAACTGTAATTCAGAGTTTGTTGTCAACATTGTAATTTTTTCTTGTTACTGCCTTTGCAGTATTTATGTGGTTGTATAAAAAAAACTGGAACTGATACTTGTTTTACGCTGGGCCTCTATCCAGTACAGCAGTCAGTTTTCCTATTTTACAATGAGAGATTTACTGTCCCGATTGTCTACCATTTCACCTTTCTGCTTTCCAAGGAGTAATAATGACTGTGTTTTCTACCTCTGTTTCATAAACGATGATTACATGGCAGAATTTCTTTCTTTAACTGACTTGAAAATTCCTAGCAGTTAGAGGTACAACACTAAATAAAAAAAGGTCAATATGTTCTTGAAAAAATGATTCAAAGAAGTGTTAGACTAATTTGGAGTGCAGAAAAGTAAACTTCGGAGCAAACCACAGTAAATATTGTGCAAAGCAGCCAGTAGTATTTTTGAAGCCTCTTAAGATCCTACCAGCTAGAGGTACAAGACTGTAATGTTTGTGAATGTTTAAGTCTACCCTCCCCACCCCCCTTCTTTGAATATCGGAGTATGCGTGTTGCAATTTTAATAATTAAAACAACGTGTTGGATTCCTTTCAAAGGTGTTGTTTACTGTTTGTGTTAAATCTGTTGATACACTACAAAGACCAAATGAAAAAAAGTAAATGTGGACCTATTCTTGAAAAAAAGTGATTCAAAAGAGTGTAAGACTAATTTGGAGTGCAGAAAAATAAAATGTGAAGCAAACCATAATAAAAATAGGCAAACACGACTGATCTTGTGTGGTGCTGTCATGGACGAAGTCAAGCGAAAGGTATGTATTTATTTATTATTTATTTATTTAACTTTATTTATACACGGATAAAACATCAGGACTTAAAGTAATTACTAAAATTGCATTAATTACATTATTAAGATACTAATCTACTACTAATTAAATCTAATAACAGCAAAATAAAAACAATGATGAAGTGCCTGCTTTCCATGAATGCTGTGTGATTAATTAACTTATTTGTTATCGAAAAGGAAACCCCTGCAGCCGGATTTAAAACTAGCAATAGTTTGTGCTTGCCACAGATTGGTAGAAAAGCTGTTCCACATCACCGCACCATTATAGCTGAAACTGTTTTTAGAAAATTGGTGCGGGGGAGTGGAACAGCTAATTTGCCTTCACAATTCCTAAGAGAATAGGCAGATATTGCTCTCGTTGGAGATTAAGTTTTTGCCAGCCTAGTCTAACAAAGAGATCATCCGCATTGGCATCATATGAAGAAGAGGTCAAATACGCGCAGCGCAGTTCTGTAGTTTTTGTCGTTCAATGGAAAGAGATTTATTGCAATTCCCCCATACGACACTATAATAACCGAAATGAGGTTGAACTAAGGCATTATAGATGCATAGGAGCATTTCAAAAGGAACAAAAGATCTGCTTCTTTTCAAGATGCCGGTGCAGGAGGCAATTTTTTTAGAAATATGTTCGATAGGTACGTTCCAAGTTAAGTTTTCATCTATATATATTCCAAGAGGTTTCGTAAATTCTATTTATTTTATAGAATTACTGTCAATAGTAAAAGACGGGAGTCTATTAAAAGTATTTAACCTTTGCCTTGAACCAATCAACATAAACTCAGTCTTTGACTTATTAAGAGTGATTTTATTTGCCGATAAAAAGACAGTAATTTTAGTTAGATCATCGTTCATATTTTCCTCCACATAGGCAACATCGTTACTGGCAAAGGTCAAACGAGTATCATCCGTCCGCATATATTCTGGGATGTGAGTTAACAAGACAGTTCGGTAGATCATTTATATAGAGTATAAAGAGGAGAAGTCTAAGTATTGTACCTTGAGGGATACCGCAAGTTAAAGGTTGACTATCTGAGAGAGAGCCATTTACAAAGCATTTCTGCGTACGATTGTTCAAGTAAGATTTATTAAACCAGTCAGCCAAGTTGCTTCTGACACCGTAGGCTTTTAATTTAGATAGCAATGAAGAGTGATCAAGGTGTCAAAAGCTTTCTTCAGATCGAGAAAAATCACTGCATTTACATTACCTTTATCGATATTAAAAGCCCAATTATCTGTGGCTTCGGGTAAGGCGGTAGCAGTTGAGTGAAGAGAACGAAACCCTGACTGATCACAAGAAATTAGATTATTTTCAGTTGAATATTCGTAAAATTGATTGTATACGATTCTCTAAAAGACCTCAGCCACAACAGGAATTATAGAAATTGGGCAGTAATTATTTAAATCGGAACGTTCTCCCTTTTTAAATAAAGGAATTACTTTTGTGGATTTCCACTCAGTAGGAGAAACGCTGGATACAATAGATCTATTCAAAAGGTTTCCTGGAAAAACTAGATCAAGGATCGAGGATCGAGGATCGAGGATCGAGGATCGAGGATCGAGGATCGAGGATCGAGGATCGAGGATCGAGGATCGAGGATCGAGGATCGAGGATCGAGGATCGAGGATCAGTTCAAAATGAATCAAATAAATTAAATAAATTAACGGGCATGAGTGATGGCTCATCTACGTGACTCAGTCAAGATCTCTTTCTGTTGACAGACAGGCGTTGTTTTTTAGCCCTTCCCTCATCCACCGACTTTCACGCTACCCCCAAGAACGTTTGATGGCAAGTTAGATAACAAACTTTCTCTTCTTGATTCCAATGTAGTTTCCTGGGATTTTTATTGCATAAACAACGCAAACGTCTGTAATTTTATTCTTTCACTAGAGAAATGAAAAGAGAACTTCTTTTTTTGCCATTCACACAAAACTTTCTTCTGCACTAAAAAATTTGTAGACCCAGCCAATGGACAACGAAATCGCCATTATTTTCCCCTTCTTTGCATTTTCACCCAAGCATTAGTCGATCTTATAAATAATTCCCAAGTTTTCTCTTTGAAATTGAGCTGGATATTTCATCTGTTCGCGAAAAGGTAGTTTAAAAACATTACGTTATTTTAAGCACTTCTGCTTTTGCACACTATATTTAACCGTTGGTGCGGTTCCCCTGTTGAAGCTATCGAGAAACAGAGAATCGGCAAACGTCAAGGTCCTTTACTTTGTCGGAAGTGATCAAAAGTGTGGGACTAAATATTCTGCCTGCTGTGCTTACTGGTGACAAAAAAAAAAAGAAATTGATCCTTGATCCTTGATCCGGTGATCTTTGATCCTTGATCTGGTGATCCGGTGATCCTTGATCCGGTTTTTCCAGGAAACCTATTGAAAATGGCCCTTCATGTTTTTGATCAAATAAAATTTAATCAGTTGTAGGGTTTGCCTGCAATGTGTCAAATTACCAGTTTGGACTTGATTTTTCTCATATATCAGCTTGTAAAAGATACTAAAATTAGATGTCCATAAGAAAAAGTACACGTCATCAAAAAAATCACACTTAATCCTTTACACCCTAACATCAGTATGCGTATTCTCCATACTGTCTCTACATTTCCTAAGGTGCTAACAAGGAAAATTTGTTTAACAATCAAGAGCTTTTTCGGTTGGTGATCATTTCCTTTAAAATTTGATGTTTTCACATGTAACAAGATGATCAAGCCTCAAAAAGGAGTGAACTCCACTGTAACAATTAGGTGACTAATTTGGAAACTTGAGCACTTGGTAAATAACCTTGGCTTGCAGTTCTGACGATTACAGTTTGCTGGAGTAATTGAAATGTCAGTCTCCACACAGGAACTTTCCACATGACCTGTTCAGTCATATGCAGTGAGATAACTTTAGAAAAATGTTATTGTGTTGGTAGAACTATTGTAAGTACAGTACTTAATGACAAAATTAATGATTTCCTGTAAGCATTAAGTGTGACGATAAGTTTTCGCGCCCAAACTGGGAAACTGAATCTTCGCGGACAGCACAATAACAACTGGGGGAAATAACTCGGTGGAGACCACTTTGCAGCGAGAACGGAAACTCGTCACGGTTTCCTAGCACACGGAAATCTGCTTCGAGTGAGTTTGTACGGACTTCAAGAATAAGACAATCTTTGGTTCCACAGTACTGTTATTCTAGGTCAGGCCAACAAGCGACATGACCTCTAGCGTACTCAAGTTTGTAATCATCAAAGCTGTACAAGGTACTTGCTTAAGAACTAACTGGTGTGAGGTGTTATTGTTACACAGATCGCAATATTTGAATAGGGACACAAAGGAGCGGAAAAAGGTCTCTTTGGAGTTAAACGAAAACTACTTAAATATTCTATCTGTTTCTACGACGGAAAGAACCTCAAAATTAAAAAGACGGATGAAATAAACTTTAGGCCATTAAAGTAGGAAACTTAGGTGCGAATTCACAGCTCTGATATAGAAAACGATACCTATCTTATTTGCAGTAGCGCAGCTTAGGAAATAAAAACGGAAAAGCAATTAAAAGTTTCTGCTTATCTATGCAAGGTTGGTGTGGAAACTATCGTATGAAAAGAAATTAAAGTTACGAGTATAAACTCAGCTGCTAACTACCATGAAAACCAATTTTTTTCCAGAAAGACCATTAGCACTTATATTTACCTTAAAAGAAACCAGTAATAAATAACAAAAGTGCCGGCAGGCAGGTTCATATGATGAAAGCGAGTAACAACAAAAATCTATTCCAAAAGCTACTGTGGTTTTATATATTTTTTGATTTACTAAAATGAAAGGATTTGAAATGGCCAAATGTGGAAGTTTACGAGTAAATATGTTCCGAATAACAACCACACAGAAAAACCAGTAAATTTTCCCGTAACATAAGGTTAGGGAGAAGTTATGGTGGTAATTGACCCTTTCTTTGCTAGGATGCATAGGGTTTGATGATTGTAATGTATATCTTTTAGCTTTAAAACTTTCAACTTTGTATAAATTGTAACTGTTTGCCATATCTATTTCTCTGTACGTTAATCCCTCAAAGTTGAAGCAGGTGAGTCAATAACCTGACTTCCTTTGTCTGGAATTGTGTGATTATATAATTTTGCTGTGTAAGTTACCACATTGTAACATGTAACATTATGTAACATGTAGCATTATTTCGATTGCATTAAATACTCTTTCTCAAGCTTTCATTAATGCATGGTATTTCTTATCAATGCTTATACCTAAACGAAACTTTGATATACGGAATTGGTTTCAAGACACGGGAGTTTTAAAGGGCTATAATCTGGAAAGGCAAGAATCTTCCTTTAATTTGGACTGAAATCAATGGGGGCCCTCCTTTTTTAATTCATGCTTTTTCTTTGACGTGCCTCCTCCCCTGTAATGTTTAGGGCACATAGATGAAGAGAAAATTGTTTATATTTTAACGCATGAAAGTTATTAAAGCTCAATTTTCCAAACTGCAATTATAAGTCACGCTCAATAGAATATAATTGTAACTGATCCTGACATCATACACTTCATCTGAAGAGGAAAACATTCTCTATCTTCGAAAATTTTCTCAAAACATCAGGAACAACAACGAGGATCTCAGGCTGTTTAAAGATACCGCTGACTAGCATGCGTGTTGATCGCCTTGCAAGTTGTGAGAGTATCGTCCCCAGGTTCCAGACTTCGTCAATTATTTCCCCCCTCCCCAACTTCCGGACTGGGCTGGGTTGTTCAAAGCTGGGTTAAGATAACCAAGGGTTAGTGTGAACTCTGATTTCAAATCTGAAAGCTTTAAAAAAAATTCAGTATAATTCTTTTTGATAAGAATCTGATGATTGTATGCTTGATATAGAATAGAGGAAATGATCCCAAAAAGGCTTTTGAACAAAGGAGTAAAGAAATCCAGATTAAAATTTAACCCTGTGTTAGCACTAATCCGCCTCCGAACAACTGGGCCCTCTGGTCTCTAAATCCCCTTGAGGAAACTCTTCTACAATCTGTGCTGAAGAGTTTTATTAATCAGTATAATGAAGGGCTGGAAAATAACCTAACTAGAGCTCCGCTTTTAGGCTTGGCTAAATCTATATTATATAGATAGATAGCAGTTTTCAAGAAGTTTGTGGACTCCTCGACGTGTGCGTGACCAGCGGCTTTCACGACGAAAGGTAAACCCAAAAAGACTTTCAGCTGTTATTCACTTTTAAACCTAAAATATTTAGATTACAGTGCACAGAAGTTTTTGTGTTCAATATTGTTGACTCACTGAGAAGTAGAGGCAAAATATGATAGATAAAATCATTGTCCTTGTTTGATTGTTTTCTGCTTTGCTTAGGGTCTTTGGTGTTTGCCGTTTAGTTCAAGACACTATGGCAAAACAAAGGCTTCCCACTTGATCGCCTAATGTAAATGCGAACCAAAAGTGATTTAATTTTTGTTCTACTCTTTGTTTGAGTTCTCCAGATTAAAAAATCACTTCATTTAGGCGCTTTTAGAAAGGATAAATGGCGGAAAGATTGATTCTCTAATAGATGCAAATACCCAATTTCTAGCTCACCTGCAATTTCTATCGTCTTCAAACTAAACTTTTGAAGTCAAATTTCAAGTCAAACGCTTCAGTAACAGCTTAATTTACCGTCTTAGCAGATTACTCTAAAGACCAAGTTCTCCGTTCTTCCCTCCTCGTTCATCGTTTATCGTTTTTAGTAACATCCCTCCAGAACATCACATTCTGTTCCATTGTTTACGTTAGTGTGCATGGTCATGCTGATACTGATTTATAAATGACATGTCAAGCATACACATAGCATGTGCTAAACTTTTAAGAATGAGAATTCAAGATTGATTTTTCATGATTTGGAAAAAGAAAAATCACCGGCACCCTTTGAGTTTAGTGAAGAGCATGTACGCGACCTCTCAGTATCAATGAAATTAAGGGTTTGATCCTTTGAGCTTGGCGGGAGGTCCAATAATTCAGTGCGACATCGTTTAGTCGCATCGCTTTTTATGTTGCGATTTTAGAACTAGCTGTCGTTTCAGCGAAGAATGTGGTGGAAGGAATAACCACCGTGTTTGACGAATGTATGGTATTGATGACCAACAGACTCGGACCTCTGGTCAGAGAAAGCATCTCGCGGTGGAGGAAAATGAAAATTAAAGGAATATGTAGGAATATTGTATGTATAATGTCTACGTAAACTTTCTGCACACTTGACTACGTAACACAAGTGAAACAGAGTCATTTAATAAAAGGCACTGGTGTAGACCTTTTGGGTTTGAAAAAAATGATGATCAAAAACGAAATAATGATATTCTTCTCAGAAATCGTTGTAGATAATCAGCCACAATTTTATGACGTTCTTTCTCGATAGAAAGCAGAATGAATTGAAAAGCGAAATCAGAGTAGACCTCAAATCAGTTTGGACTAAAAGGCCGTTTGATAGTTTCTGTCTCTATGTAAAGCTGAATGCCAACCATTTGATAGCTGCAACGGTTACTAATTATTTTGTTAGTTGATTATGTCCTATCTCGGGAGAACCGCAATCTAAGTGACTCACGACTAGCAGCGTAAACCCCTATCAAAGTGCAAGAGAAGAGGATAGGGTTCTCGTTGTGATTGGATACTTTGTAAGAGAATATCAATTATTAACTGCTGAACACAGCTGTTAAGGTATGATTTAACCGACAGAAAGAACACTTATGATACTCCTACAAACCCAACTACCTTATCAAACAACGTGTAATATTCTTACCAAGGAGCGACTCTTAAAAGCATTAAAGTAATTATCCTTAGTAAACTTTCCTTATCCCACCACAGACTACAACTTAGCTCACCAATGACACAATCTTTGCATCAGGGGTGGACTCGTGATGTCTTTTAGAATAGAAAACTTGACATAGTTCGACATTTGCAGAAATGTTAGGATAAAACTCATTTTCTTCTCAGCAAAAACCTTCAAAAAAATTATATATGAAAATTTCGGTGAATTCATTTTGCAAAGCTACGACCACCCCCCCTTCCCCCCTCCATTTCACCCCCTCTCCTCTGTATGCTGAAGCATTATTTTGCCCTCAGAAACAAAATAACGTTAGGGAATATTTCCAAACAGACGCTAAACTCTCCTTCATTTGAATGTTAAGACTATTCCTCAGGTATCCTCTACTCCATACTAAAGGGGTTATTTTAATATTAGGTACTGTTTCTAGTACAATTATTTATATCAGCTGAGGAAAGAAGGGTTTTGATCAAAAGGTAACCTAGTTTATAATTATGTAAGATTGATGGACTCTTAACCTCTACTGAGAGTGACCGGAGAACATGGTCTCCTGGATGTAAGTCTCCTGAAACACGTACAAGCGATTTTTTGCACTTCCTGAAGCTCTTTTACTTTGGTTTGGTTTTGTCCTTCCTTCAAAGGAGAGATCTACAGAGATGGGTCAAGATTTATTAGATCAATGTCGTGGAGAGAAATATGGGAACTCGTGTACGGCATCATCATGCAGACAGAGTCAACTCAGAACTTTTCAACACTTTTATTATATAAAAAAAATTAAAGTTATTACATTAGCAACGTATCCAAGAAAAAAAGACTTCAACCCGTACCTACAACCAGTTTCGTTGAGCAATAGTATCTAGTACGCGAAAACTATCGGCCTGTTAGGCCAAACAACAAACTTTCTTGCAGAAGTAATGTGCCAAGTACAATTTTGATTAGAATTCCGTATAAAAGTATTTCGAGTTGGTATCGCAAGTAAAGGCTGTCTTGGGGAAAGCAATTTATGCGCACGATTAGCTTTCCTGAAAACAAGCGGGTTTTGCGGCAAAATTTATAAAAATTGTACACAACTATGGCTTTCAGAGCGAGATCTCATCATCACCTCAGAATTGAGCCAGAAAATAGGCTGAACTCAAACGCTTGTGACGAGGCATATATGTAAGTACTTAGTATGTTAAAGAGAAAATGAGATTAAACTTTATCAGTAAACTTATAAAAGCATTTAGCGTTTAAGAATATAAAGTCCACCGTATTACAACGTTCCAGCCTAACTGCTAAACGCAACATGGCTATTTCTACCAAGTAAGCATTTAAGGAAACGATGATTAATCCCTGAAACTTGTCTAGGCGAAGTGTTCAAAATGTTAGCCAGTCATACACCGTGGACGTGTATCTAACTACACTGTTAAATCCTCGACGTTTGCATACAATTGCTTGTCGTACATTTTCATGTCAATTAGCTTCTGTAGAGAAAAATAATATAATAATCAGCATCATTAAAAAAGTTTTAAGTGGTTATCCTCATGAGTGGTCAAGTTTTCACACCAAAACAAATTCAAGGAGGAAGTATTTTATGGCGTCGTCGTCTGCTACTCTTTGTGCGTCTCAATGCAGTTTTGCAATCATCCTATGATCTTTTAAATAACCATCAAGTGTTAATTGTCATTGAGACATTCAAGTTCACTTCTTTGATGTTTTTCGTGGAGTGCTAGCTTCAGTAACATAACAAAAAGATGCATTCCAGACTTCGTAAAAAGTACAGAGATGAGTACATATTACTACGCTATTTAGGCTCAATGCTGTTACGTTTAACCCTAATTAGCTAAGCCTAAGCCAGTCGGTCTTACGTGAAAAAAAAACTCTCATATTGATAAAATTCTGACCTTGTGTAGGGTTTCCATGTCCTTAAGCTGATTTTTCAATTCAGTGAAAGTTGGTCTTGCGTCTGGGTCATTCTTCCAGCATTTCATCATGATTTGATACCTGGTATTATTCAAATAATCTGTTAAAGATTTAAAAAATTTTTCCTTGTACGACGAGGGAGAACAAGTTAATAAAGAAAACTTACAATTTTTCATCGACGTGTTGTGGTTTAGGCATCCTGTATCCATCCTGGAGTAAGTTTGCAATTTTTCTTCCATCCATTCGTGGGTAAGGTGAACCGCCTGGAAGAACCAAAAGACCATCGAAATATAAATGTGACAAAAAAACGACCTTCAATGACACACCACCTTTGTCACTAGATGTAGTTTGAAGCTCATTACGTTTGTCTAACTGAACACGATACATTGTTGAATTAAACATGGTATAAAGCAAAAAACATCTACAGAGCCTCATAAAATTCCATTCGATGTTACCTATGGTGAAAATCTCGTATAACAAAACTCCATAACTCCATCTGCAGAAAGACAAATCAAACGAATATAAATTAAGTGACTATAGACATAAACAGTATATACGACGAATAAAATAAATGTATTCTTTGACAAAGCATAAAATTCAAGTCCTGATCAAAATTGATAAAATTTTTGATAAACTACTACGGGTAATAATCAGGTATACTTACACGTCACTTTTGGTGGTATATTTACCATACAATAAGGCCTCATAAGCTGTCCACTTCACGGGAAGACGGCCCTAAAGATTTTAAATATCACTTTGTGAAACAGCTCGAGAATTATAGGAAGCGAGTAGTCAGAAATAGTGATATTTAAAATTGTATTCGTATACGCATGGCTGATAGTTTCATTAGGGTCCCAAGGAATTCATGATTGAAATCAGGAATATATCAGCTCAACCACAACAATGATTGTCAAAGATCACTAAACTGAACGAAATGTGATACCGCCCTCACCTCCCCTTTTTCTTGATTACCTTTGTCTTTCGTTCATAAATATTTTCCTGCTGCACATCTCTGGCCATTCCGAAGTCTGTCACTTTACACATTTCCTTTTGTCCAACCAACACATTACGGGCCGCAAGGTCTCGGTGAATGATCTAAGAAAGAATTGATGTAACAGCAAAAATTAGCGATTGTAGAAGAAAAAGAACTGAAATGAAATGGTTCAGAGAGGAAAATAGAAATATCTAGCAACATAATATGGTGTGTGTATTTCTTTTTCTTCCAGATGGCAGAAAATTAAAACTACTACAATAACTGCTCCATATTCCAAAGAGAAGCAAACTACTTTATTTCTGCAATACGTAATCATTTCAAAGAACGCTTACCTTAACATTTTAATCGAAATAGGATTCTGTAATGAAGCAGTTTAGCGACCAAAGACGATTTTTTTAAGTTGAAGTTTTAATTCCTTTTCTTCCTTGTCACTAAAATGGATATTTGTTGTACACTCAGTTTAGGCTGAATATCTTAAAAGATCCTATTCCTTCACGTCTCTGCCTTTGCTCACACGAGAAAAACCCAGATATTTTATTTCGATGGGGTACACTTGCAACGATGCACAAATATCGCCTTTCTCGCATTGAAATAAAACTTATATGATGACGTCAAAATCGGGAGGGTTCCTGGCCCTAAAGAAATAGCCTCGACAAGACGGTAAGAATACGTCTGCATCTCCCAGGCGTGATCTTGTGAAGACATAATATTCCATGCCAGACAGAGCTTAACATGACGATAGACCTTACGAGAAAGTTTTAGAATTGTTTGTCTTTTGTGTTTTTAACTAACTTACAGATTTTGCGGACAAGTAACTCATTCCATCAGCAATTTGCCAAGCAAACTTCATCAGCTGCTGTGACGTCAGATTTGTTTGTGGTTTGATATCCGGGTCTTTGTAGTAAGTGTCTTTTAATCCACGGCTCTTTCTCAGGTAACCCAGCAGATCCCCAAAAGGCACATATTCAATCAAAACCAACAGCTGTTCTGAAGAAATTAAACAATTTAATTGATATGTTACTTTCTTTAAAAAAAAAAGCAGTAATTGAAATAGATGAATAGCCCAGTCATGGTCAACGCTTTTGAAGAAATCGCATGAAAACAAGAAAAACTATGCGACGGTCCCATAAGAAAGTACAGACCAATTATTCCCTTTCAAAAAGCGTTTCTGCTTCTACAACAGAATGATCTGTTCAGTGGCAAATATTCGGTCTTAGTCTATCAGTAAATCCAGGAACGTCTGTGTTGGCTAAAAGAAGATAAAATTACCTTATGCGATGGTTGTTTGTTTTGCTCAATTGCGAAGCGGTCACCCTTCCACTGAGGCAAATTATCAATGACGAGAAAGCGTTACAAAGTAAATCATAAGAAAAATGTGTACAGCAAAATTAGACCCGCATAACCAAAGCATACCAGATTCAGTAACACATCCCAGAAGTTTAATGACGTAAGGATGTGGTTTTAGCTGTTTCATTGTGTCAAGTTCTTTCATCAGATCTCTCTTGTCCGATTCAGTAGCGTTTGCTGGAGCATTAAAAACAAGGAGTAAAATTTGGTTAACGAGAATAATATGCGAAATGTCGGAATAACAACGTAACTTATGAAATGGAAAATAGCTAAATAATTACAGTAACCCGGTAACATTTCCTGAATGTCTGTAGGCCAAGACTCATTCAATTTACAGTACAAGAGCTCACTTTTAAGCATCTTAATAGCCACTGTGGTCGTTTCAGGACTCCCTCGAAGTCCTACTGCTGTTCCCTTGGCAACCTGACCAAAAGCACCTTTACCAATGATTTTTTCTATGGTCACGTTATGTCTAGGAACTTCCCAGCAGCGTGTTAATGGATGAAGAGGCACGTAATCAGCACCTGGAGGGGTACTTTGTGCTTTTCTATCATCTTTGTTGACTTCTATGAGATCCATGTATTCCGCATGAGGCTGGATGAGTTTTCTTGAATCAGGTAGACTTGGTTCGATATCTTCTAATAATGTTTCATTCTATTAAACCAACACACTGTTAACGTATTCATATCCAAATCTGTTATTAATCCCAGTAAAAAGTACCTCGTGGTTATAAAAATCAGTTCACCCATTTTTATCAGACAAATGTTTATATTCTTTCATGATAAGAGATTATTGATAAGAGATTATAAATAGTTTATAACCTCTTGTCCTTATTATTACTAACATTTTGTTCTCTGCTTTTGAAACTATCATGTCCAATAGAGTGATCGAGGCTCATAGCATATTCGTCGAAGCTACAAACTGCAACGTGAAGATTGTCGATTGGTAGTCCAATATTTTGACAAATAAACGCACGAAACAACTCTTGCAGTACCAAGCTCCTAAACTCACGTTTAGAAAATAAGGCAGCAAGAAAATACAACGGCCAAAATGCACGAAATCTATTATTTAGAAAGCAAATATCAACCGGGTGCAGACCAATTAGCGATCTGCGAAGTGAAACCAAGCGGTTGAACCAGGGACAATCGAAGGAAAATCCATGGAGTGGCTTGGTAAAGGACATGATCACGGGACAAAGACCTTATCGAGCCTAACTTCCTCTTTTATTTCATTGTATCTGCCACTGATGCAATATGCTTTTTTTTATGTAGAACTACAAATTTTTTCCTTCTCATTTGCTGCAAGCGTTTATTTTCTCATAGAAAGTAGAGGTAAAGTAAGATTACATAATTTCTGGTCACACTAACATGACCTCAATGTCTTAGCTGTAACTTACGTCGCAAACACGTCTCTCATCTTCATAAGTCCTACAATTGATAAAGCATATAAATAATTATATTACGCTAAGAATTTCATCAATTTTTATTGGAGTTTTGTGTTAAGATGAAACCATTTCGGGCACATTATATCGACACAATCCAACTAGCAGAAAATTCTTACCTCTGTTTCCCTACAGCGCCTGAAAAAGAACGAAAGGAAAAAATACAAATGATTTAAACGCGAGTAAAAGTTTGCTTTTGCGTGAAAAAGAATCTTGCAGCCAAACATAGATTATGATTTTTTACCTACCTTTCTTATGTAGCCAGATTATGTAAATAATTAGAAGAAGGACTGTGAAGGCAAGAACCCCAATTACGGCTAACAAGACGTTGTTGGATGGGCAGTTACATTCCTCAGGACCTAAAATGATTAATTTTGCAAAGCTTGATGAAATAACATTCAAACAACATTTACACTGATCCTGGTGGATACACTGCTCTTACTACATAGCTGAGGTTCATGACCGGAAAACGTTAACTCTAATTGGCTTGGTACTAAGGAAGAGTAAGGTGCTACTCTCTCTGAAATAATTTTTAAGAGTAAGACTTTGTTTAGTTAAATAAAACAACAACGACAAAAACAAAAACTTGGAAGTGTATCAGTCACAGAATAAGTTGTTTAATTAAATAGATATGGAATACGATTATAAAGAGTCCATCTTCGGAAGAATACGTGTAAACATTGCACAATTTCTTTGTAAAATTTACCTTTTGTTGTGCTTTCCGAGCCATCTGTGGGTATTAAAACTTGTTTAATTGAGTCTGGATTGACTTTGAAACCTCTGAATTTGTCTTGCCTTGCAGCATCCGACAGGACAATCAAAACATTGCTGACGACTACAGTTTGATTGAACCTCATCATAAAGTCAAGAACAACACTGCCACACCTAGATAAGGGGGGGGAAGAGAGAGAGAGCAAAGAGTATCATCGCACACATTCGTACTTTGGTGATTTGTAAGTGTTAAAATTTATTGAGATTTAACCAATGTATTAAACCAAGGTAAATAAAGACAATATTAAAGACAATATACTTCAAACATAAATTAACTTGTATTATATAAGATTTGCTATAGCAGAAAAAACACTTTTACAGCTAAAATACAACACATTGAAATAAAGCTCCTCTACCCTACTAGAAGGCAAATTTGAGTTTGCATTTGTTGTTTCAGTGTAGAGCAACAAACTGTACCTTACCTGGTGTTCACAGTGTTGGCGGATGAGCAGCCAAACCTCAAGGCAATTTGACAAGCCTAAAAGGACATATCAAGAAAAAACGTACATTAAAATGCTGGTCACATATTGAAGATCGTTCAGGATATCTTATTTTTTTAACAGAAATATTAAGATTTGATTCAAGAACAGATTGATTAAGATTCACTTTTCATGATAAATCTCATGGCAGTATTCCTTAAACTCCAGTATATGGATCAAGTAGATTATCTCACCATTTCTGGAAATTTCTCAGCAACTTCTGAACGTCTGTTACAGTCCTCCTGTATTGTCGCTGTCAGGTAAACTTCTGTGCTTACTGTTTGAACTGGGGAAAAACAAAATACGACTTAAATTGAACGTTTGTTTGTTTGTTTGCACAAGAATTATCATTTGAACTCATGTATAAAGCCTTTACTTAAAAAGAACACTGGCATAAAATGTACGAATGGGAGGCCAATTTGAGAGATATTGTTTTTCTTGTATTTTGTGTCACGATGGTGTTCTCAGAATCGTTCCCCTGATCGTCTTCCTTTTCGCCGAAGTATAACTTTTTGAAATAACCGCAAGTTATGAAATAGATGACATTGATGGTGGCAGTCTCAACATTATTTATGAAAGGAAAAGTTTTGTGTTATGCACGCGAGGTTAAAGCCTCGGGTTGATCATTTATTTACAAAGTAATTCTGACCAATAGGCAATAGGCCACTTCTGAGTTCTCCCGGTTCAGTAATCTGTTGTCGAAATTACGGCGCGTAGAGGAGGGTAAGTGCGAATTCGCTCTCATTGGTATGAAGAATGGAGTGCAGTGATGGTGAAATGAGAGAAAAGTTCTCAGAATTCAGTGTGGGAGAGTGAACATTTTTTTGTGGGAGAGAGGCATCAACTAAGTGATGGCGGCAAAGGAAAGAAAAAAGCAGTTAATTTAAGTACGAGAAGATAAATCTAAAAAGTTGCAGAGTTCTCTTTCCAGGTTCAGGTGAGCATGTGTCGGTAAACTAGTTAAAATATCTGTGTGTGCCAGCCAATGATTGAAATCTCAGTTACTAGATATGCCATATCTTTGCAATTGGCACATATATATCTACTGCGACGTAAGTGAAATTTTTCATATTGATTCAGGTTTTTTGCAAGCGAAGAATTCAGCCGTAAAAACCTCGATATTCGTGACACGGAGAGTGCTTGAAAACTAAGTAAAGAAAAAGATAACCTTTGAAAGGCGAAAATAAGATTCATTTGAAGATACTACCTTCTGCCTTGACTTGCTGGATATTTGCTTTCTCCTGTTTTAGGCTTTCACCAAGCTCATTAGTTGCAGTTATGGCAAACTGATACACCTTTCCTTTCTCCAACGCTATTTTCAATTCTCTCGTAGAAACACCTCTGATTTTCCTTATTTCTGTCCATTGTCCCACTTTCCCGTCAGTTACTACTCTTTGGTACACTGTATACATGGTGATAACTTTTCCATTACTTTCTGGCTCCTTCCACTTTAGGGTAATTGTATCGTCTGTTGTTTCATCTGGCAGTTGGTCTATTTCGACCACATCTGGGGCTCCTAGATTGATGCCAACAACATGGACAGCGTGAAATTTCTAATAATTATACAACTTCTTGATAATAACCTGGTCACAACCATTATCAGTGATTAGATAATCTGTAAATTGGTCGAGGATTTTTTGGGATATTTTTTAAACGAACGTGTATTGCAAGCAAAATTAATTTAAGTAATTTAAAATAATTTGAATAGACAAAAAGTGATAATGAGAAGCCTAAAATGATGGTCGGTTGTAACTTAAAACAAATAGTGATTTGTTTAGCTACTTTCATATGATCAATTGAAGTACCGATGCATTCATTTGTGTTACGTAATAGAAAAGTTTGAAAAACAGAAAGTTTGACATCGCGCATGACTTGGTCAAAGCACTCGGCCATGACACGGTGGAAAAATGAGTGCGCATGCTCCGCTTCTCGAGCCATACGAGTTTCTTCTTCTTATCGGTTTTTCCGCCGATAAAACAAACTTTTCTCTCCAGGGGGTTTGCCAACTGAGGAGGCAATGACAAGAAGCGCAAAAGCGATAACAGGTACTTTCAATTCTGTGCGACGAAGTGACTGACAACACCAAACTTGAGCAGCTTTCATTTGTCTTTAGGTTCGTTAATAGACTCTAAAATTCGCGAAGAGTTTTTAGACTTCCAGTCTACGGAAAGAATAACTGGAGAGGTGATCTCGCAATTGATCCTAGGAAAACTCGAGCAGTGAGACCTGGATATTTTCCACTACCGAGGTCAAGATTACGACAGTGCCACAAACATGTCCTCCCAAGCTAGAGGTATACAAGGCTTAATTTCCAGGAAAACCTCAAAGCCTTGTGCGTACACTGCAATTCGCATTTCTTAATCTCGTCATCGTAAAGGCATGTAGCTTGCCATTAGTTCCCAAAATGGCTGGCACAATTACAGAATGTGCAAACTTTTTTAATTACTCCCCTAAGCGGCTGAGGTGCTTGAAAAAAGTGATAAGCCTAGATCAGCCAGAGTCTCAAGGAACCAAGATTAGCGACCCTTGCCATACTCGTTGGGTGGAGCATCACGAGGCGCATGAAACTTTTGTTCAGTTTCTTCCATCAGTAGTTAAAACGTTTGAGGTTATTTTAGATGAACAGCAACATAAACAATACAGCTCTGATACGTCTTGGAACTGTGATAGAAACCCTCCAAAGAGCAAACGGCTGCTACCATACCTGGTGTTTTTTCCAGTTCCTCATGTCCTTGACGGTCACGATGAAAATTCTGGCATTCATAAAGCCGACTGACGTACAGATACAAAAAAGTCTAATGACATTGTTAAAGCCTACAATATGATTTCGGAGACAGAGAAGAAGTTGAAACAATTGCGAGACAAGAATGATGTTGTCTTCAAAAGATGGTACGCATATGCTGTGGAGATCAGTTCAGAGCTGGGAACAGAACCAAGTGCTCCTAGAACGGCGTCAAGACAACAACATAGGGCAAATGCACCCCATGACACAGCTGAGGAATATTACCGTCGCAATCTGTACATTCCATTCCTTGACCATATCACACAAGAAATGTCTTTAAGGTAATCTATATAAATTATCAACCTTTCGGCTGTTTACTTAATCATAAATATTTAGAGAAATAAGGTATAGGAATTTTTTTTTCAGATTTGGGTCCACTCAGAAGACTGCTATGCAATTGCTTCGTCTTATGCCAAGCACCACTGTAGCGTGCACAAATGTAGACCTAGTTGAAGTCTCCGAGATGTATATGTCAGATATCCCAAGCCCACAGACTCTCGACATTGAATATGATCGTTGGATGAGAAGATAGCAATCCGAGACGGACAAACCAGACGCGCTTCAACCTGCCTTACATGTTGAAGCACGTCTTGCGTCGTGCATCGTTGAAGCGCGAAGTAACTCAGTTTGTTTTTGTTCAAATTTCGCTTAGGTTAACAAATGACAGCTTTATTGATTACACTTTTTGTCGATCTACAGGCTTGTGATCCCAACATCTTTCCGAACATCCACATCTGTTGTTGCGAATAGGATGTACAATTCCAGTAACATCAGCTGATAACGAGCGCTCAAACAGCACTTTGAAACTAGTCAAGGGCTACCTTCGAACCACGATGACAACCGAGAGACTTTCTAGCCTGGCTTTCATGAGTATTCACTATGAAAAGCCTTTCGATTACGATGCTATAGTTCAGAAATTTGCCGAACAACAACCTCGTAGAATGTTACTCGTTGATCCCATTTTTGAGGAATCTTAAGCGTGACCTTTTAGAACACATTAAATAGCGAAGAAAAAAAAAATTACTGAGATTTTAGTTTCATTTTCTAGGGGTCAGTTGATCTCGATTACTGTCAAGACTAAAACGTAGTCCTTGTTTAATAAAATAGCTTTCATAAGAGATGGTTAAGGTATTTTAAAAACCGTCCACCATCATCCCTCAAAACGCTGAAAATCGCATTTCCGAGGACTTAAATTTCAAAACTTCCCGGGGGGGCATGCCCCCTACGGACCCCCCCCCCCCCCCAGATGGGTCCGCCTTCGGCGACCCATTTGTTCGAAGCCCCCTTTTCGAAATTCTGGATCCACTCCAATACTGCAAAATGGATAGTTGGTTGTTGGGTGTTCTGAATATAGCCGGTAAGCGTTTAGGAAAACTGTATCCAACTAACGTAAAGATCAGTATCTAGCGTTTTTTGTTGTTATTAGTTTATATCAAAAGATTTTGAGACGTGAACATAAAAAAAACACCACAAGGCAAACAATTCTTGATAAAACAGGTAGCATTTACGGAACGTAACCGCATGGGTTGACTCTTGTTCTCACCTACGTTTACCTGTGGTTTAGTGATACGCTTCTTCATAAGTAGGTACCTTTCAAATAACTATTAGAGAGGGAGAGGAAAATAGCCATTATGGGGGGGACTTAAAATCAAAAATCTTATAATACGGCGAGCAGATAAGATGGTAAAACTGGGACCACTCACAACAAATCTAAGTTGGTAACAAAACGGTTGGTGCTAAGTGCTCAATCACGATATCACCTCTGATTCTCACCTTCAAGCTTGGTCTTAATCGTCCTTACAGTAGGATCTCCCTCGAATACGACATTTCTGGAAAACAGTTTCATTGTGTAGTTGGTATTTTTCTCCAAACCACGAAACGAATAAGATGTCGTCCCAGGATTGGTGATAGCATCCTTTTCTAACTCAGTTTCACCCTTTTGTAAGATCAGTTGGTATCCTGTAATCGGACTTCCTCCATCATCAGCTGGTGCAGTCCATCGTATTGTTATAAAAGTTGCTTGAATGACTGATTCTGACGATTTGATGGATGCTTTCCCTGGTTTCTCTATATAGTGCCATAAAAAAGGGATCATTTTGAGCAAAAGGAAAAAAAAAAACCGAAGGAGAATTTTTTTTTCAGTGATTACTCCACAGTGAGTTTTGTTACAATACTTAGGATGAATGCAAGTCCTTGTATTAATAAAGTTTAATGAATAACATGTAGCTACTGGATAAATTCAGCCAAGAGCTTAAGAAAACGAGGAAAAATTAAGTTTCCATGGTTGAGGAAGTTTCCTATGGTTACTCGCATTGGAAGATGTCGCCAATCTTCCTGAATTTCAACGCTCTTTTTTAACGTGTTTAATGCTACCAGTAGGCAGGGTGTCGTCAATTTACTGTTAATCGTTTTTACAAATATGGGTGCATTTTCCACTAAAAGATCAGGCTTACTATATCCGGCACAATTCCACTATTACGCTGTTATACCTCATTGGCGTAACGAACGTGAAATATATGTGAAGGTCTAATGCTGCTAAAGACGGGAAACGTCATTGGAACGCTCAGATAAGGCCGCAGGATGTATGTCGAAAACTAAGCGGCCAAATTGTTAGCAAATGAAAGAATAGTAGAATGATAAATCCCTTACTCGATGGTGTAACATAAGCTTACATTTTTCCACACAACTATAGGCCTTGCAAAATATCCGCATATATTATATGTTAAACTATCAAATGTACAAAGTGAATGAGCTACTCTGTCGAGTACTTTGTAAGAAAATTTGGGTTTTACTTCTAATACACCTGAAAAAGTGATAATGGGCAAAAGCAAAGAAAATGCTGACCTTCTATATGCTTTTCTTCTTATCAAAATACACTGATCTTTTTTACTTACTTATCGGATTTATCTTTATTAACTCCTCATCAGGTGGAGTAAGTCCATTGGCAGCAATGCACTTGTAATGACCAAAATCTTGATCACCCCTGAGTGGCACCTGTACTTTGTTTTCTCTGGCTGTGACTCTGTTTATTTCACTTCCTTCAGGTTTGTACCAAGAGAGTGTTGGTGTAGGAACACCATCAGAAAGACACTTCAAAGTCACTGTCTGGCCAATCCAAGACTTCTTAGATGACGTGGTGACATTCTGAATTGTGGGCGGGTCTGAGAATAAATACCAATGCAATAAGCAATTGAATGAATAATTGGTAATACCTCATATCAATTAGAACGTTAATGAGCTTTATCATTCCACTGCTGTATCATTCGTGATTAAAGCGAGATATGAAGTACTCCTCGACCAATCAGAGTGCATGCATGTATATAATCACCAAAGCAATTATACTAAAACATATATCAATAGCCAGGAGGGTTACAAGTTTCTCGTTTTAAGAGATAAGAAGTATTTGGGGTGGAATTAAAAGAGGAAAAAGAAGGGATTGTTTTTATACCATATGATAACAAGTTCCAAAGTTCAGCATTTCTAAGAAATATGATTTCCTATAATGATCCTGATTATGTCCGTAAATTAAGTTGTCATTATTAATGTCGAATTTACGATGACATGGCTCAAAGTAAGCAAGTACATGTATTCCCATGTATACAACATGTACATGTATACAACAATAGACATAGGACCATTTCTGGACTTAAAAATAGGAGTAGGTCCGATATTTCTCTAGACATTTACGTAATTTCGATTGCTTTTTTTTCTTTACAGGAAATGTTTTATATATGTGGTATACTCCATGAAAGTATGTTCGGTGTAATTTTGATAAGTGACTTTAAAATCTAGAAATCAGTATACCATTCATGCTTGGTTTTTATCTGCTCCTGACAACAAAGGTCGAGTGCCTGCCCATACGCAAACACCGAAACAATTAAGTATCTCAAAGAGCAGAGCGGCATAGTGCTTGCAGGTTACACAGCCTCTCAAACCAGAAAGTCATGGGAATCAATTACCCAGCAAAGCATTTGTGTTTCCTTTCCTTGTCTTTAGATGAAAAAAAAGAGTGAAGGTTGTAATCACTCCACAGTACAGTCTGTCTCTTTCGTGTTATTTGGCAGTCGAGTATTCAGTATAAGGTGGCAAGGCTTAAGAATAATGAAATATAAAATGGATTCTTGCCCTCAAATAGTATATTTCATCGAACACCACTCATACAAATATGCGCAAATCTTAGAATGCAGTTCAAGTTTCAGCCCATTTCCACACCAGCTGATCTCAGCTATCAGTAAAAAAAGAAATATGTAATTTCTCAGTTGACGGTTAGAATTTTGACCAATTCTCAGATTTCCACTAAGCCCCGACCAGAGCCCTCACACAGAATCAGAATATGCACTAGCCTTGTGCGCTGGTCAAACGGAGCGAATTTTGGGTCGTCACAATGACTCGCAAATGGCTTTAAGTCATTTTCTGAGTTAAACACAGTCCAACTGAAGTAATGACTTGGTAAAAAAAATGTCACGTTCTCCTAAGGAAAATAACGTGAGAAACAATTCCACCTAAATTAAATTGTCCCAACCAATACTCGAAACTGATGCATGAGCCGAAAAGGATTTGAGGTGGAATCCTGTTTCCTTACTCTCTTGAAAAGATTCGTCAGTTTTGTGTAACTGACCCCAATGACAGGAGTTGCACTTTAAATAAAGTAAATTCAGAGATAGAAAATTAAGGTTAAAATATACTTACAGTGAACTACAATTGTTGTGTCAACAGAAGTGACTTCCACTGAGTTATTGGCACGACATGTGTATTGTCCTGCATCTGTTCTGTCTATATTAACAAACTTTAAAGACGAAGCTTTCTTCACTGAACTTTCCAGTACTCCATTTCTAAACCATGCTACATCCGGCAGTGGTTTCCCAGAAGCTTCACAGGTTATGATAACAGGGGATCCTTCAATGTAATATTTTCCTCCCAAAGAGATGTTTATAAGTGGTGCCTCTGAAAGGTAAAAGTGATTATATCATTGCTCATATGGCTTAGCAAATTTTAGTTTAAAACCAACTAGTATAAGGAAGCTCAATCACCTTTCAATACAATTTTACTTGTTCACATGCAAAATTATAAATTTAAAGCAGAACTCTAGCCACGTATATTAAGAGCTAATTCAGGAAGTAACTTATTGGGCTAAGGATCCTGGCTTCTAAGCTACTCACACGTTTTTGGATAAATTTTTTGCTGTTGCACAAGCAAATAGAAGCATCGCTAATCAAGCCACACCTCACTTGAAACTTGGCCTGACAAAAGATCTACTGAAGACATCCTCAACCCAGAGAACTGAGATTTCAATGAAAGAGACACTATAGATTTTTCCGGATGAAAAGAATACACCAGTGGCATGCTGAATGCTGCTTGCCCATTACTTAAAGTTAAGAGAAGAACTTACTCATCTTCTTGTATAGTTCTTTTATGAAACATTAAATAATTTGATTGTTCATCATGATTGCTCCGCAAAGGGAGTTTGTAGAAGGGAGAGTTTCCGACATTTCCTCCACATTTTGAAGAATTATACTCACAAATAAAACGTTCTTAAGCACAAGTCAAGTGCAAAGAAAACGAATTAATTTCCTACATTAAAACTGGACTGTATGGAGACCACTGTTAACAATTTGTGCTAGAAGGTTTGAGTAAGAAATGCAAAAAAGACCTTGCAAACCAGAGTAGCTGGGAGAGCATTTGTGAAAGGAAGAAAATCCATTTAATTTTTTAATGACAGAGGTAAAAACTTGACGTTGAATAGTACTTGGTAACATATTATGTGCCAGTGTTAAAGGTTGAGGAAACTGTATGTAAAAAAAATCCTTGACAATGGAGTGGTTTGCTCAAAAAGTTCCTAGATCTAAAGGTGGATAATACTACTTGTGTATCTTAAAATAGTTTCATCTCCCCACTTACCTATAATAGACTATATTAAACTTTGTTTAGATTTTACGAGCCACCAATTTGAAGAGCTTCCAACTGAAGTTGTGACAAAGATATCATACAGATACATGTTAGTATACAGAAACTTAATGTACGATTACTTAACAGTACCAGAATTTTGGTGGGTCCAGATGTAGCTTGTCATCCAGTTAACAATATTAAAAAATCTTGGAAGGAGTTATAGAAGAAACCAGGAACTATTATAGAATTCTATGTACTTTTATTTCGATTTATATTGACCTTTATTCAAGACTTAGATATGCTACCTCTGAAACATCCCCAAAAATCTGTTGGGTACAAGAGCCATAAGAGAGTTACATAGTAGGACATGTTTCACCATGTGTAGGTGTATGCTAGCTTGATCTATCCCACAATCCAAAACAAACCACTTTCATGCAAAACAAGCTAATGCTAAATGAAACTATCATCAAAGGATAATTAACTGAACTGAATTATCATTCAGTCGGAATACTGAAAATTCTCCTTTTTTCCATTTGTTTACAATAAATGATGCTGTATATGCCAGGGAGTAGATTTGACCCAATAAAACAAAGTTTCACCTCATTCAGAAAGTTGGGTAAACATTAACTCCAATTGCTTTTAAAGATCAAGAAGTCGCCTTTCAGACATGGATTGGCTTTGGGCTACATGAACCACATGCAAACAATGATTCATTTAGTCCCTTTTAAGCCATAAAATCTGGTATCCTGCTATCATAAGACAATTTGGAAAGAGAGGTAGTGTTACAGGTATTGCATTGCAGTTAAAATAAGCCCACAGACCTTAGCAAATGCGTAATTAAAATATTGTGATGTAGAAAGTCACATGGTTCCAACTGAGCGACAAGGAAAGAAAGAAGATTATGTAATGGCTGTTAAGCACAAACAATTTGTATTCACTATAGGTGTAACGGACCAAAAACAAGTAAATGAATGGGGTAAATAGTGAGTTTGGATTTTTCACAATAAGTGAATAAATCTTTTAAGTGAACAATCAGGTAAATTGTACATGAGTATTGATATCACACAAATGTTTTCAACTATGAATCACAGTAAAATGACAAAGAAGTTGTACATACTAAATATCACAGTCATTTTTATGTACTTATATATAATGTTGTTAGCACATCCAATATAATGTATTAAAAAATGAATGGTAAAACACTTGGAAAGAAGATTAAAAAAGTCTATTCAACGAACACTAGGCTTCTGTTTATACATGAAAAGTTTTTGAAAAGTTTAGGTTACATAAGGTCACAAAACGTTTCATACTCTAAATTGAAATTTAATACTTTTAGTCTCTTCTAGCTCTTTGTGGAATTCAGCCAGTTCCTCAGTGGAGCAACCAAAGTCAACAATAAAATTGGAGCTGTTTAACTGACTGCCATGAATAACAGCATCTGCTAAGAACATCATTCCTACCTGGCCAACCTGATCATCATTAAATTATCTTCTGTTTGCATGCTTAGACTTCATTGGTTTATTGCTTTCATAACTTTGATAAAATTTTGCTCCATAATGCACAAATCTTGACTTGCTCCTTAGTGTCAGATATTACTAGAGGAAATCAGCATTCTGTAGACTAGATTTACATCTGCAAACCTTAAAGATCATAATCCTCAGAAAGCAGCAAATGACACTGTGCCAACTTTCATTGCCTTTGGCGAGTCTCATTAAAAGGCTTGAAAAACAATACCATTTTTTTCACACCAAATTAATTTCACATGCTGCTTATGATTGGTCATGCAAAATTTTCCTTAATTGATTTAGGAAAATTGTACTACCCCACCAAATGGGTCGTTTCTGGTTCTGACTGACCATTTCTAATTGACAGCTTTGCTGAGACAAAATCTCTGTACCCATTTTAATAATAGTTATCTATGCATAACAGAGCAACCCAGTTGTTGGTGCCAGAAGAATAAAGCAATAAGTCTTTGATAACTCTTTTCTCTTTTTAGGAGTGTGGTATCACATTCCAAGTAAAAGAAGCACCATTGTTCCCAAAGGTCGGGTTAGCCAGCCACTTTCAGCCCTGCATATAAGGGTTTGCACAAATTTAAGCTAGTTTACTTTCTCCAGATCTCAAGAAATATGAGAGACATGAGTTGAATGCATTTGATTTATGTTTGATGATTAATGTTTATGTCTGTATTACATACCTGCCACAATAAGCTGCACTACACTTCTATAAGTCCTTAAGCCTCTCTCCAATTCACACTTAAATTTGGTATTGTCTGCGGGGTTAATGTTCTTGAT